GGGGCCCCTGCGGCCTGGGCCCGGGGGGGTGACAGCCCCGGGGTGCCCGTTCTCAGCCGTTCGCAGCACCTCTGGGCGTGAAGTCACGGTAGTCTGAACGAACGCGTGTAAAAAGCGTTGGATGGCAGTCACGGAGCGCCTTTTACGTTCACTTTATTGTCTATCCTTAACAAAAGTACCTAAAACTTTACCTGACGACCTTTATCCACCAATTTCGTAACGAGCAGTACTTCTTCCCGGCTCCCGTTTTCTTCTTCTCTCAATAAAAGGTGTTTCCGTCGTTCTTTATAGCTTTCTGCCACGGATTAACATTCATTCTGACTGTATTTTCCCTAGAGGGAAAGAAAAGGAAAATTACCTCAAGAATACCACGGGCCCTGTGTCTTAAGCTAAAGGCACAGTCAGAGAAACGGCTTCAGGGAAGGGGTTCGTTGGTTCGGAGTAAGACTGCAACCTTTGACTTTGAGCTACCCAAAAAACGCCGTTGATCTCTATCCCACATTGACCGTTAGCCACAAATGGCTTGTAGCGCTTCTGGTTTTTAACATCACCGGTTTTCTTTTTCTCGCCGTGTAGGAAAACCATTCTTCTGAGCCACACGGAAGCGTATTGAAAACTCCTTTGAAACAAGCTGCTACCTCACATTTGGTATTGACAGAGATACAGCCTGACTGTCAGCCTCTAACCACACCCCCAAAACCTAAAGAAATCCTTCCAGCAGATCCATGGACGCCTACTTCGAACCTTAAAATGCTGATTAGCGCAGCTAGTCCTGAGATTAGGAGCAGAGAACAGAGAAGGGAACTGTCAAACAACACAAGTGAGGTCCTACAGGCGAAACACTGTTTGCAGGTATGTTGTAAAGGGGTCGTCTTTATTTACGTGGTTTTTTTAAGTCAGCCGAAGGCTGTTTATTCAGTATAAAAAGTTATACGTTAACATACTGCAACGCTTTTAAAGTTTTGGTTTTGGAGTATTTACCAAATATAAGTAAGGATATTGCCTAGTTACATACAACGGGTAACGTTTTGCTGCTTTTGTTTCCCAGGTGTTGAGGACAAAGGGAGAACACTTGGCAGTGCTCACAATGAAGCTTTTAAATAGCTACATATTCACATATTTACTGTAAAAAATTTCAAATTCTCTTTTTCTTATTTCCGTGTAGGAGCACTTATCAGGAGATGAGTATGAAAAATCTCAACCAAGTCGCAAAGAGAAAAGTCTAGGATTACTGTGTCATAAATTCTTAGCTCGATACCCTGATTACCCCAGCACTGCAGAGAATAATTACATTTGCCTTGATGAAGTAGCTGAAGAGCTCAGTAAGTTGGTGTACATGCTATTTTGTATTTCTTCATACAAATGTGCCAATAGCCTACCATTTGCGTTAGTACATTTTTGCTCCGTAAAATTTTGAATGCTTACTGTGTACCCTCAAACTTATTTAAACCCAGCTTTAAACTCTTCATTCTTAGAGCAATTCTTTTAAAAAGCTAAAGTTTCTTCAGTGAACTGAATGGAGAAACTCTGAATTATGTTTAATATTAAACATCTAAATTATTGCCCATACCACAAATAACCAGTTGCAGTTTTTTGGATCTAGAGATGATGGCTACGATTAGTGGTTGGATTTTTGCGGCAGGAACTAGCGTTTCTCAAGCTGAACCCACAACTTCCTGTCCAATCGTGACATCAAAGCGAGAAACTACTTTCTGCTCTCTACGATAATTAAACTTTCTCATTTTATATCACTATTTTTATATCGCACCAATGATCTACCGAGAGTCTGAGTTGCTAACATTAAGCTGAAGCTTTTTTTTATCAGAGCTGTGAAATTACAGTATTCTACAGATTGTAACGCTGATAATAGTTATAAATCGCACTGCTCCAAAATTTTTGGTGTCATTATATCTTCAGAATATGTTGGGAGAGGAGACACAGAAGAGGGATGAATTGCAAATTAAACAAAATGTCTATTTTATTTATACTTTGTAAGAAATAATATGTCTTTTAGAAAATGCCTAGTCAAAACCAAGAATTTAACAGACAAAAGAGAAAAGGACAGTGCGTTAGTAGAATAACATCTAAGTTACAAAACAGTTGTCTACCATGAGTTTCCAAGGATGTTTAATGAGACGATCTAAAATCGATGGAATGAATAATTAAAAATGCTTTGTTTTTTTTTAAAGCTGTATTGAAACCCATCTAATGGCTCTTCTGGCAACAGTAAGTTTTATTTCTTAAGGAATGCTGTAAACCAAGTATAACTGTGGAGAAGCAGGTCCTTCCATATCTAAAGCAAGAATTGTTTTCTTTTCCTTGCTGGCAAGATCTGTGAGGGCTATTTTCAGAAACCTTTATAACGAGGAATTGGCGACAGTAGCTTAGAAGTATATTAAGAGGAGGGGGAAGTATAGGAAACTGATCCCTTCTCTGTGCAAACCGTGTTTCAGGTAAATAGATGACAAAATATACGTTATGCAGTAGAGATGTCGTGTTCATCTTTCTGGGTTTGGTTTTTTTCAGATGTTGAACGTAGACGCATATACGATATTGTGAACGTGCTAGAGAGCCTACACATGGTGAGCCGCCTTGCCAAAAACAGATATGCTTGGCACGGGCGACATAATCTCTCCAAAACCCTGCAGGCTTTGAAAAAAGTTGGAGAAGAGAACAAATACACACAACAAATTCAGATGATCAAGAAAAGAGAGTATGAGCATGAATTTGATTTCGATGGTGAAAGAAATGAAGAAATGGCAAGATCTTATGGCTCAAATGAGCATTCAGAAATGTCTTTTGTCGAGCTCCCAGGAATGGAATTTCGTGCTGGTAATAATTCTCTGTAATGCCAAGAATAATATGTGCTTGTAATGATTAATATCTATGAACTTGGAAAAAACATTTATTGGACTTTTTTTTTTCTGAAATGCTACTTCCTGAAAGGCACCACAACTGTTTGTGGTGAGAAAAAGTGCTCTACGCTCCTTCAGTTCTCTCTTACATTCAATTCTTGCACGTGTTTTGTTTTTACAACGCAAGAGCAAGGGGGCATCAGGTGAAAATATCAATACCCAACGTACAATCCAATTTGCAGGATTATTTACCCTTGAATGTTACAGAAGCCAAAAGTATAAATTACTCCGTTAATTTATTTTTTAATTTAGGTTTGATTCATGAGGCACCACAACTGTTTGTGGTGAGAAAAAGTGCTCTACGCTCCTTCAGTTCTCTTATTCATTCAATTCTTGCACGTGTTTTGTTTTTACAACGCAAGAGCAAGGGGGCATCAGGTGAAACTATCAAACGTACCCAACGTACAATCCAATTTGCAGGATTTGTTACCCTTGAATGTTACAGAAGCCAAAAGTATAAATTACTCCGTTAATTTATTTTTTAATTTAGGTTTGATTCATGGAAGCAGCGTTAATTAAGGATTGTTAAATACATTGTATAACCTGCAGTTAAGCATCTTTAAGAGTACAAGTTGTCAGACAATAGGAAGCATATACAGGGGGAAACATCACACTCTCTTCTTTGTAGTTAGACTCGGTATCCACCTAATTGTCCCATTCTTGCCATGTAGAGACGTGATTCTGGAGTCCACGTCGGCCCTGCCTAGTTGCTGTGTTGTTTGTTCTTCTAAATTGTTACTGACAAATTTCTTCATTTTTTTAAAAATGTTTGTAGCTGGTGTGTGTCACTTCATACTTTAATCTTTTCTCCTGTCTGCTGCAGCATCAGTAAATAGCAGGAAAGACAAGTCTTTACGAGTGATGAGTCAGAAATTTGTGATGCTGTTTCTTGTATCGACTCCACAAATAGTAAGCCTTGAAGTTGCTGCTAAAATCTTGATTGGAGAAGACCAGTTAGAAGACTTAGATAAAAGCAAGTTTAAAAGTAAGTAAAATATCAGGCGTAAGTTAAATGAACTATTCTAGTACTAGTTTATATAGTGTAAAATACCATCATCTTTTTGTTGCCATAAATGTATTTGAGCCTCCGAAGACTCACTAACCACCTTGCGCAGTTTTTAACAGGGACCCACTTGTGCATAGTCATTGATACATAATGACCACGTAAGAGAAAAAGTCCATTAAATCCTCTCTCCTGAAGTAATGTCACAAGGCTGCTTATCGGTAACAATTTCTCTTTCTCTTTCCTCAAGCAGTCTGTCAAAGATTTCAGCATCATTTCATCAAAGATGCCCCAGAATCATACAAATCTGTGTCCTGGTCATATAACTTACTTATTGGAAATCTAAAGAAATTCTGTAAAAGTCCTGTTAGTAACTTACACGTGAGAGGAAGCGAAACCCAGAGCTGTAACTGCCAACTACTTCTTCATTCTTTTGCCCTGCTCTCAGTTCCCTGCACACTTCCTCCTCTTCCTCTTCATTCAAATGAAAAGGTACTTCTAGGTCTAGGCCCGTGTATCTATAATAATCAAAAATGTGCCTGCTCTTGAGGGATCAAGAATTAATTGGGGGTTTCATTGAAAATTACACCCTTCCTTGATTCTCAGACTCCGTTGCTTTTTTTGCGGAATCGTATCTATGCAAAAAGAAAACTGATCCTCGCTGGTTTCAGTTCATAATTTCCTTTCCACTGCATCATGGCAACATAGAGAGGGTGGGTGGGCAGTCAATAGGGGGTTTTTGTTTGTTTTCATTCTTCCTTCTTCCTCCGCAAGGTCTGTCTCGCAATAAAAGCATTTTCAGGGCATTCCATCCATGTGTCTGTATTTCAGGTATCGCACGTTTTACGCTGTTCTTGGTTAAGAAGCATAGTCCCAAGTTCATGACTCGCTAGACTTTAAATTTTCAGTAGCAGCAGCAGCGTTGGCCTAAGCACGTTCACTCTGCAGTCCAGAAGTCACTTGTCATTTGACTGCTGCCTAAAGCTTTTCCCTAATAGCTCAACCTGAAAACAGTTAAGAACGTGCAGGATGATTATCCTGTGGGATTTTAGTGTGTCTCTTCCCCCTAGTTCCCATATTCACAATTGCATGTGCGTACCTGCCTTTTAAGCTACTTATTTTCACTACAGTATTGGCACCGGTTTGGCCACTGCACAGAACCCAACTTGTTTGGAAAATGTTTTTTTTTTTTCTATAGCATAATATACTTAGCAGTATTTTCTCTTCTAGATCTCTATGTCATTCTAGTTTACATATAAACTTTATATTGTGGTAAGATACGTTATTTCATAGTATAAATACCTGTTCCACAAAATTGTTCTTATAAAAAAATAATAAAGGTTTTTCCTTTTAGCTGCTAAAAGGGCGTTACAACATTTTTAATCTGACCTATGTTAACTTGTTAATCGGAATTGCTATACTTTACATTTGTTTATTTTATTTCAGCCAAAATTAGGAGACTTTATGACATAGCAAACGTCCTCAGTAGCCTTGAGCTTATCAAGAAAGTTCATGTTACAGAGGAGAGAGGTAGAAAACCAGCGTTCAAATGGACAGGACCTGAGGTCTTGCCAAATATTCAGGGTAGGTGTATGTGTCACTTCCTTTTGTTCTGCTGATGATTTTGATTGTTTCTTCGTTTCCTCTGCTAGAAATTTTTTGAGCAAAAGACAGAGTAAACTAAGCAGAAAGTCTTTGCTAGTCACATCCCGGTCCTTGGTCCTTGACAGCATAGCACACCCGTATGCATTTCCCCATAGTAAATTTACTCATACGAAGACTCTTGCATTTCCACTTTTGCTGCTGCTAGTACTTCAATGATTGTAAGCCAGGCTCAAATAACTGCTTTTAATTACTGAATCCGCATATGATGCGTATTTACTCTTTGTGGGTTTTTTTCTGCTTTTTAGATACAAAACTTGAAACAACTTCTACGACCTGTCCCCCACCTATTTCAGAATCCATCACTTCCAAAGATCAGTGTTCAAAAAACCTTTTTCCTTCAAGAGGAAAGCAAAACTTCACTCGGCATCCTTCTCTAATAAAGTTAGTTAAAAGTATAGAAAACGACAGAAGAAAGATCCAATCTGCTCCGACCAGTCCAGTTAAAATAAGTGCAAGTACGTATCTTCTTTTAAGTTTGTTTTTAACTTGCATGTAGTCTTGCATTAAATATTCAGGCTTGCCACCTTCTCATAGGAGATGCGGATGTGTGGGTATGCCCGCTTACAACAAACATGTCTTAAGAACTGTCAAAAATAGACAAGATGGGGAAAATACATGTTGCCTGTAAGTCTGAGGCTTTACAAGATTGATAGCGAAAACAAAGCAAAAATGATCCGTGTTCAGTGCGTAAGCTCTGCAATTAGAAGCTCCTTGCAGTTTGGTGGACCAGATCCAGTCACAGCTTGTGCAGTTGCAACAAAGTAAATGGATTCATTGAGACCTGGACCAAATTCAGCACGCTGTAGGGAACTTGAGCCTCCTCTTCACACCAAATACACAGAGTGGCATATTACTATTTTGGGTTTAAGAATAATACTGAATCCCTTTTTACGTATCACTGTCTTGACTTTGTGTGATGTCTTACTGGCTACAAACTTCTGTTTGTGTAGTTTGGCTGATTGTCTGGATATTGTCTTTCTCTATGAACTGCTCTAACCCTAGTTTGTTATGGAAACTGTGCTTTAGATCTTACTATCTAAGCAGTGCTGTAGAAAATTGCCGGAAAATTACCTATCGATGTTCATGTTCTTGTTAAGTATCCTCTTCGGGGGGGCAAAAAAAAACAGCTGAGGCTTTAAAATTCGTTTGATGTAAGCTACCGTCCAATTGATCAAATCAAGTCTAGGCTGCAGTTTGAGGATAACATGGAGTCTTAGCATCTTCTCATTAAATGTGTATGCCACATTAAATAGCGCAGTCTCTTCAAGACAAAATTTAACTTCTACATTTGAGGTACTAACAGTTTGGGTTTGTTTTCCCCCTCCAACCAGGTACTGATCAAAACTTATCAGCTTTCCCAAGTAAAATGGCTCAGGTTCCAGCAATCGCTAAACATCAGCTGGAAGGACAATCAAAGTAAGTTTGCACAAGTGTTAAGGTGAGAAGCTTTATTTTGTCACTGGCCATTAAGGTAAAGCTATGCGCGGTTTGAGTTGGGCAATAGTCTGCAAAAACCAGTAACCCCTGATACTGCAGGCTATTTTTTTTTCCCCTTATTTTCTGTTTAGTGGATTGAGAAGTACAAGTTTATGCCAAGTCTGTATATTGCAGAAAATAACTTGTCGGGGCATTCGTTTCTGCACAAAGGTATTAAAATATGTTTTTAATGGCTTTTTTTTTTTGTTTGCTTTGTTTTTTTTTTTTAAGGAAAGCAAAAGAGGAGATGAAAATGAAATTGTCAAGATCTGCTTTGGAATGTAATCTGTCCTCACCTGAGGTAGTCCCCAAGCCCGAACCTCCTCGCACCGCAGCACCCTCTCAGCAGTCAGCTCTCACACAGCCACTCGGTGTCTGTCCTCCAAGCCACAGTTCAGTCCCACCAGTAATACTACCTCATACTCATTCTGGTGTTTCATATGCGATATATCTGCATCCTTCTCAAGCCCACACTGTGACAACATACAGCCCAAGTTTCATGTTGCAGACTCTGCCGTGTGCTAATGTAACTGGAATTAAGAGTATTAATTCAAAAGTATTAAATAAAATAACCACTGAGGAAGGGGACAATCAGATAGCTACAGATGATCCAACAAAGTCCTTGACAGCTAAGGACAGACCGACTAGAAAATCAGAAACTTCATCACAGCGGTGCCTTAAAAGATCACAAGCATTACAAGAGAATAATTTAATTAAAAGGTATAGAAGTGATGAGGAAAGCCTTGATACTTCTCTGGTAAGTTAATTTATTTTTAAAATGCCTTTTTGTAGCTTAATGATGTTGCCACCTTATCATTTTCAAAGTGATTTAGGAGCATTTAGGAGCCTACCAGTGTGTGTAGGCGTTTTAAATAACATTATGCTTGAAGGGATGACGTTCATTTGTTGTACTTGCTGATGTTTAGGGGGCTAGTTTTTGTTTATTTACGTATATATGTATTATATGTATATATATATGTATTATATATCAAATATCACATAATCTTGCTGGTATTTGCAAAGCATCAGGCAGAATAAATAGTATGCAATATAACACATATCTTCGAAAGGCCAACCTAGGATCAGGCTGTGTTTTTCTCCTTGTTGTTCCCCTCTCTTCCCCTTCCAAATATTTATTCTAAGAAGATGTGTCAAAGTGTACAGATGTTAGACAAAATATAACAACTCCCAAAACATTATGTCAAGACTTACCTATTTATACAATGATTCTGGAGTAGTTCAGGTTGCTCTTCTTGCTGGCATTCATTCATGGCTTTAGAGATGTTAGGAGGGAAAGCGGACGCATAAAAGTTGCTGGACAGGGAATGTCCCAAAATCCTGATACCTTCTAAATATTTCTGTCCACTGTTGTGCACTGTTAATGTTGGATTGTTGTAGGCGTAATAACACAGCACATGAAGAGAACAAGAGGTTCAGATACACCTGATACATATGGAGAAAAACTGGGTCTGGATTGCTTTCTGCTCCTCGGTTGCTGAATGTTTTAGTGTCTCTGTAAATTACTAGGCTGCTTTAAATTGTGCTTGCCAAAACAGTCATGAAATGTTATCAGTGCGTTGTGACAACGTGCGGTGTCAAACATCCACTAGCTGTGAAGGAGCAAGAGGAGATAGCATGGAACTGGTTGTCTTATTGACTAGAAATTTTTATAGCGCAAACTTGGGAATCAGGAGAAAGGAGAAAGCTTGTTTTCTTAATTTTCAAAATGTATAAATATCATTGTAGACCTGTAATGGAGAATGTTAAGTCTTACAATGTCTGCCTTTGGTTTTGTATGTACTTTTTTAAAGGGAGAATCCATTAAAAATGAAAGACCACCTCCCAATAGCTCACAAATGAATCACAAAATGGACAATTTCCAGGAAGAGGGACAGAACAAAACCAAAACGTTAGATCAGAACATGGCAAGTTGCTATGACCAATGTAAAAGAGAAGATATTGCAGAAGATGAGGACAAAATCAAAACTAAACAAGACATACCTGTAGCATTTGCCATTCCTGCTCATGAGGTAAGCTTTGTCAGACACCACAGCACATCTTGCCGTTACCTGGGAAAACACCACTTGGAGTCTTCGCAAAAGAAACAAAACTGTAATGAACTACACATACGTAGATTGTCTTTGGTTGGATTATTTTTAGTGTGCTTTGAATACCTTATTTTGTAGGAATGTAGGACTTCTATTTCTTCATTAAGTACACAAGTAAGAGGACATGAAGTGACTTTTCAGGCTTCGACTGGGATGAAGATCACAACTAAGACTAAGTAGATGAAGACAACGTTGAGATCCCTTACATCCCCAGTCCTTTGTTTGTGCATATTTAGTCTCAAATACTTTGATTTACAACAGCATCGCATGAAACTCTCTTCATCGGTAAAATTTGGTATTCTGCAGTTAAGACTTACTACTGTAGAGAACCTGAATAAAGAACAGTTCTGTTGACAAAAACAGAACTTGTAAATGCAAAAGGATTGTCTTCCAATATTTGTCTTATTGAAAAACACAATCCAAGAATGAGGTGATATGATGATTACTGCATCCAGATGTTTCTTCTGGGGGGGGGGAAAAAGTATTCAGTATCAGGATTTCTCTTTTGTCTGGACTAATTGTACTGTGTTAATCCCAGATGGATTTCCAGTTCCTCACTGAGAATTCTGCTGACCTCTGCACAGTAGGACAGTCTTACTTTAAAGGGAATGTCCTTGAGTCAGTTGTGTCTAATTTCAGACAGAAGGTAGTACAGACATGGAATATAGGATACTGGGGATACGGAGGATAAAGAATAAGAACAAGGCGAGGGGGATGCAACTTTGGAGAAAAACTTCATTTCTTATTATGTGTATTGTATTTTCTTTTTCAGACTTTTTTTCCATCTGGCTATCTTATTCCTCTTACTCAGTGCACCCATGGCAACAAGGCGGGCTTTTCTGATAAAGAGAAAGCCGGGATATGTTCATTACAGCACACGACCTACAGCTCACCCATTGCTAGTGAGTATTAAATAAAATAGGCGTACAGTTGTCTGGCTTAAAGGATTGTGGGCCAGATTCATCCTACTGAGGTAATGAAATCACAACACAACGGCTTGAGTCTCAATTTTTAATCCCCTTCAACACATGATTTTTCTGTTTCAGGTGTCATTCCAGTGACAGCATCTGAACTGAAAGCAGTTAACATTCCTGCTTTTCACATAACACCCTTGAATATAATGCTGTCACCAACTTCTATAGCTGCTGCACCTGTACTGAGCAACTCCTGTCTCAATTCAAGCAGTACCAGTTCTGCCCCAAATTCAAATTCTTCAGTTCTGAACTTTACACTGCAACACGTAGGACTAATACCTGCTGGCGTGCAAGTTCCTGCAAATCCTGTTCTTCAGCACATGCCAGTCTCTTCACAATCAGAAAATGTTAGCCATAGCTCAGAAAACATGAACTTGCAAGAAGAGAAGGTAAGTAAAAATACATTGCGGCTTCTTGACCGTGGTGGGTCGAGTGGGAATTATAGTGCAGCAATTCCTTTACAGCAGGTAAAATTTTTAAATAAACATTTTTTTTATCTTTATAAATCAGCACTGCCCAAAAAGAGCTGGCAGTGAAGGCCAGCGTAAGTACAATATAATTGAGAGGTCAGAAAGGAAGAACAAGTATCTTATTTGTTGTGGAAGCGGAGCCAGCTGGAAGATGACAAGATGTGAAGAGACAACTATTTTAGAGGGAGGATTTTGCATAGATCGAGATGACACTTACTAACAAATTGTCTGTTTGTTACTTGATCTTTCCTTGTTACTCTCCTACTCTACTCTCAAGTTCTTGTGTTTAATGTTAGCTTTTTCTAATAGGTAGGGGATTTTAAAAGAGTATTTTTTTTTGCACGGGAAGTTTGTCTGTATATTTTGTGTAATACTGTATTGCCTAAGAGCTGTTTGTATTAAAAAAGGAGATAGGAGGGGATTAGAGAAACCAGATTTTTATTTAATTGGTTTTTTAATATCTATATATATTTATAGATATATCAAGGAATACAGGTATATTATTCTCAGTAAAGAGTTGTTAAATTTTTAGATTTCAGGAAAAAAGATTAGTTTGCTAACATCCTGCAGAAACCTAAAACTAGAATTCACTTTTTTTTTCCCCTTCCCCTTAAATGAAAGTAATTTTCTCTCTTCTCTTTAGCCTTGTGTTCCAAAGGAACCCCAAGAGCCCCCGACAGTTACAGAAAATTTTTTCCGCACACCAGGAGGGCCGAACACAGTCTCTTCACTATCTGCAATTTCAGATGCTACCGACAGAATCTCTCAAGGAACTCTGTATATTCCTCAACGAAAACTTGAAGTGTCAGAAGACTAATTTTGGGATATCGAATTGCTGAATGTGTTAGCAGGCATAATTACTGGTAACACGCTGCACACGTCTTGGATTGTATGATGGACAATGTGTGTTTTGGACGTGTATTGGCAAGACCTCAGTACTGGAATAGCCTTAATTAATGCTTTAGAATTAAAACTGGCTCTTAATGAGAAAGTTAACGTCTAATAACTTTTCCAAAAGGCTTACCTGAAGTATTACTGCAACAAAGTTATGTATCTAGTGGGTTTTGTGTTGCTTTTCTGCTATGCAAAGTAAGCTGAAATTATCTTTGTACAGAAAGGTACAATCTATCAGTCAGTACATATTTTGCACAAAGAAAAGTACTGTGAGTGTGTACATATTTTATGTCTTAACAAAAAGGCCATAGTTAAAATGTCTTGCTTCTTGTTCAATAATGCTCTTTTGTAAAGTTAGTAAAAAAAACAAAAACAAAAACAAAAATGAATTCTTAATCAAGTTTTATATAAGTTAAGAATTATTTATACTGTATTTTTAAATCAATTTGTTCAGATTAAACTTACATCAAACTCAAATGTTGACTTCTTTTGTTTGATCAAATTAAATTACCTGAGTTAAGAAATACATTGTATATTCACTGGCATCTCTTTATTCTTTTTTTGTCAGACAGGGGTGTCTCTGTCTTCTGAAGAAAGGGGAAATGGTATTTCATCGGAAAGGGATTTAAGTAACTCAGTCTGACTTCTGAACTCTATCACTAGAGATTACATCTCCCAATAACAACAATTAGAGGAAAATACAGTTATGAACTTTGGAATTCAGAGTGTCCTTATCACCCCAGAGTATTCTGGAAGGTGCTGTCCAAACGTCACAGAATTGGGAAGTTACATGGTTTGGGCCTCAAGCCAAACACAATCTTAGTAAGATTTGAAGCTCTACGCTCGCTACCTTGTGCCTCTTCTCCTGTTAAACTCGGAGCTTGAGCCAGGTGCACGCTACGCTACACACACTCCATAGGTTCCCTTGACGCTGCAGAGGCTTCAAGCCTAAGAGAAAGTTTTCGTAACATTTGACCTAAGGTTTTGTAACCATCTCACACAGCTGGTGGCAGAAATCCCACATGCAGTTACTGACGCACTAGCTGTTCGCTGTCGCAAACAACGTAAGGTCGGGCTTTAGAAGGAAGGAGCCTCAAGTCTCTTGGGCATACACCAGACAGAGGCTGTTGCTGTTAGTTTCTGCTTTCTACCTAAGATCAATGTCAGCTTCCAACTTGTTTCTCCCCTACTGCAATTTCATATCAGACAGGTTAAGTTAAACCAACTGAATTTAAATACGTACAGCAGAATCTCTTCTACGGTGAAGGAAGAAAGATGAAGCCTCCTCACACAGCTCACACTCGTCTTAGGTGACAAGGAATAACTAACAAATTAAAGGAAAACGCAGGGTGTGTGCCTTCCCAGGTGAAACGTGCCTGTCTGTCCAAATTAGGACGGGAGAAACGCTAGCAAAGCCCAAGATTCAGGCTTGGACTGGGTAAAAAACATAGTTAAAACAGCCACCACAGTAAAACTAACTGGCTTGCTCTGTAATAACGCAAAATTATTTTGTAATACAAATATCCCTGATGGAACAGGATCGCTATTGAAATATTCCTGCATGAGGGGGAGAGAAGAATAAAAGCTGGAAGACGGAGGAATTCTCACTGCAGCAGTGACTGGATGTTTTTTCTTCTCCAAAGTGGTAATTGATTGATCTTCCTTACAGCTGCTATCAATTCCATTCTAGAAGTATAAAGGCAAAGGTTTACAGAAACTTGCATTAGTCAAAGGAAACAAACTACAAAACTTTGATTTTTGGACACCACAGTTGACAGAATAAGAAACTACAGTAATTAGGCTTGGAGGAATGGTCTTCTCACAAATCGTCTTCTATTCTGAAAAGCTGAACGTATATTCTCACTTGCTGCCTAGTGTCCCTTGGCTCCTGTCAAAATACAGTTGCTTGCTTGTTCACGCAGGCTTTATAACACCCAGCACTTTACTTCTTGTTCATTTTGCAGGCTGAAAAGCTACTGCTTCTCCACTTAAAGCATCCTGTTCCCCAGAAGACCTGCATTTTGCTCTCGCTAGCTGAGCTCGCTGCTCTTTCCACCTGCCTCACCTACCCTCGGATGGGACCTGCACCCGATGTGCTCTGTTGCCCAGCTCTAGGAAAGTCCCTCTGATCCTCAGGCTCGCTTTGCTTTTGATATGCTGCCTTCCAGTTCTCCGAGCAGTGTTTTTTAATCCCTACCTTTGGTTTATAGAAAACACTACATTCTCACTCCACCACGAATATAAAAATTCATGCATGTGTTTGTTCCAGTTGCATATTTCAAGTCCGTTCTTCCAGTCTCAGGTCCTGATAACCGCACTGGACCAGGGATTATATGAAATGCCAACTAACCCACACGGGTCCGACTGCTCCTCTGAGCTGTAAAGAGCCTCTCGATAAGACCCGCTTCCTTTCAGGGGCACGCAGTATCCAGGGTAGCACAGAAGTACAGAAATGAAGCAACACCCAGTACCAGGAAACTAAAGGTTGTTCCCTGCTTTTACTCCTTAAATTCTCTGACAAACTCAAAGGGAAAATACTTGCTGACATTTTGGGGCAAAACCCTTCTCCACAGATTTCCCTGCAGTTGGTTATTGTGCAAATCCATCAAAGTACATCATTTACATGACATGAGTGAGGATTAACAAAGATTCAGTTCCCTCAAATGTCAAGGGTCCTAACTTACCAGTCACCAAGGGTGCAAACACTGAGTGGTTACAAGCTTCTTAGTGCTTTCTCTGTACTCCAACAGCGAGCTCAGTCCTGCCCCAACCCCTCCTCGCCGTCGTCTTACAAGAAACGTTCGTACCACGTACACTGCACCGTCACCTCTGCATTCAGCCTTATTTGACATAGGCAGAAGAGTTCCCTTAACTATCCAGGGAGAATGACCACGAAGAGATGGAGTCCAGCTTTCCAGCTCAGGAAAAAATAGTCCTCCAGCTTTACATCAAGGACCTGTCTCTGCATTATAAAATCTTTGCTGGACTTAACAGCCAACGGATCTATAGGCTCCTAAGCGTTTTCAAAGTAGTCTCAGCGAACAGACCCCTAAAATCCTAAAGTCTGACGCGGATTTGGCATCTAATTGCCTTACAGTCCCATGAAAGTCCCAGAGTTGAGACTCTCAGCTTCAGACTCCTGGTGTTTAACCCCTAGGCTGTAGGGGCTTGGCCCTTTCACACACAGCAAAGTCCACGATACTGAACGAAGCTTCTAAATTCAGACATCCCTTTAGAAAATGAGAACTACCTTCTAAATCTTTAAAGCACTTAAAATAAAACCCTGTAAAAAGTGAACTTTAAGTGCCTCATACTTTAGTCTCCACATCTTCAGCTACATAGAAGGAAGAACTGTTTTACGCTGAGGGTGGTGAAACACTGGCCCAGGTTGCCCCGAGAGGTGGTGGATGCCCCATCCCTGGAAACATTCAAGGTCAGGTTGGACGGGGCTCTGAGCAACCTGATCTAGTTGAAGATGTCCCTGCTCGTTGCAGGGGGGTTGGACTAGATGACCTCTAATGGTCCCTTCCAACCCAAACTATTCTGTGATTCTATGTCTGCAGCATCATTCATTTCCAATGAGCTCAGCAAGGCACAGCAAATGTAACTGCAATGGTTAGACATGGTAAATATTATACATATTAACTAGCCATCTTAACACCTAAAACCAGTACAAATTTAAAGATTAGAGTGTAAAGCGTAATTCTCTGTAGCCTAAATGACAAACCAGCTGTGAACTGCTGAATGAAATTCTATTATTTGGTTTAAAATTATTGAGTTCCAGAGGTTCCTACAAACAGGTTTTCATTTTTTTTTTTAAATAATTATTTTGGTAAGTTACTTTTGGCAATGTGACCATTTATGACTAAATCCTCATTTCAGGAACTGTTATTTTATGATTCACATTTAAGCAATGCGGTAGCAACTACAAAACTTTATTCTTTATTTCTGATCTATTAGACTGCAGTCAGGAATGCCCTCTAGGTGTAATCTGAGGGGCTGCATTGTTGTCCACCTACTCACAAGTGGACGTAAGGGAACAAAATGCCAGGCTTTTGTCAGAGGTTATTTTCAGCGTGGTGATAGCAATGGCATTGCTCAGATCCCTGAAACTCTCTCTCATTCCCCTCCCCTCCCAGCTTATAGGGCCGACAGCGGCGGCCGCTGCGTTTAAAGAGTGCAAGAATCCTTCGCGCTCAAACCCTTCGAGGCCTAAGAAAACAGGGAGAAACATCCAGTGACCCCAGTAAGTATAGTATATCGCGTTCCGCCAAGACTGTCTGATATAAGGGGTTTTTTTTTCCCAACAGGTGGTAGGAACAGCTTATTGCTCGACAATGAGAAATGTGTAGGTAGAGTACAGAGACGCGAGTCCTACAGAGCTGACAGCATTATTTTAGGTTTGGAGGAGCCAACGGATAAAAGAGATCCTCCCGGGCTTCGCAGCTCGTTTAGTAGCTACTAGTGTTGCAAGAACAGGGCTGTGGGGATCCTCGTTAATGAGACACGTTTTGACTACATGCAAGACCAGATAACAGAAGTTTCAGAAGCTTTAAAAAATTTTGTTAGAGAGCTACAGAATTATGTTCTCCACAAATAGTTTGTCTTTGTACATATGCTTTTTAAAGCATACAAATTCACGTGCTTTCATAATTTCTCAGATAAAAGTATACTAGAAGTGAAAAAAAAAAAAAACCAACCAACCAAAACCCCTCAAAATATTTAATGTCAGTGACCAATTGGTTTTATATCAAGTGAGAAGGAAACTTCTATGCAGGCTTGACCGAAAATGGCTAGATAAGAATGCAGGATGAAAGAATTCACACGTCCATTACTCAAGCATTAAAAGGCAGCACGGTTGGTCAAGTCTTCAGAAAAGCCCCTATAGTTTTAAAAAAAAAAAAAAGTTATTTACTTTAAAAAGTTTTCTACCTAAAGGTAAAATTATTTCAAAGAATAAAGCCTTGTACGTAGATAAAATAATTCTGTGTCTGATCTCAATCATCACGGCAACGTTTCACGGTCTGTAACAGTTTTGCTTGGCACTTAAGAGACTTAGTGCACAGATAAGGATTCAGAGAAGGATCTTGTGGAAGGAACAGTGAAAGTTGATAGCCCAGGATTAGGTCTGGAAAAAGGAACCCGTCATTTGTACAGCAGGACGCAGTTTCTCACAGCCACATGAATCCAACTGAACTCTGTGCGTCTATGTGCGAGTATGTGTGTGTGTGGGGGGGTGGTTTTTTAAGTCAGAACTGAGTACCTTGTTCTAGTGTCGGGGTATCTTGTTTTATGGAGGTGCAATCTTAAATTTCTGCAACAGTGTGCATCAAGGAAGTTTTAAAAGAAATGTGGTGTTACTATGCTACAATAATAATAGATAATTGGAAGGACGCAGAGATGAAAGCAAAGGATTCGGACACAGGACTGTGGGTTTTTCTATCGGCTTTGCACATCACGTGCTTCATACCAAGTCACTTAAAATCTTTTGTTTCAAAAGGGCTGGTGTAACTTAGAGTGACGAGTGTCAATGAAAAATCATATTAACTTTCCTGTGTCAGTGTGGAAATTCCCATCCCTTGATCTCCATGTGTTGGGTTACTGCCGAAATAAAGGAAAAATGTTAGTCATCATGAGACCGTGGTGGAGGCTAAACGCACGACCCTAACTAATAAACTGAAAATTTACTTGTATCCATAGTCCATTGAATGCATCGGAATATAAGAAATATGATTTTTCATATTTCATTTTTTCATGTTATGTTATACATAACAATATTGCATCTTTCATTAAATGAGCTCACTCTCCAAATACAAACATTTTCTCTGGTGTGAGTCTATTCTGCCGAGAGAAAACGCTTTCTGCAATGGATTGGATTTTGACAAAAACACCTTCAGGCTTTTTGAGATGCAGTGGCAGGAATTGTGCTTTACACCGCAGGCACATCAAGATAAAACATAACATAGGAGCGTTAGTTGCAGAGAAAGAGAAAAACTAGAGCAGCATTTTATTGCTACTTTTATAAAGGGAGCTATATATTGTTACAGCCCCACGGTGCTGGTGAGGCGAGTAACACTAAGGACGGTCGAATGACGGTGGTCACAGGACAGGTCAGCAGCGGAGCTGCGATTAGATACCGAAAGAGGTCCTGGCTGCATCGGCATTTCCCACAGACTTCAGCTGGGAAAAGAATTTCCAATGCAGCCTTGATACTTGCATTTCAATGCAGACAGTGATTTAATTTGATATTATCACTGTTTATTTATTAGGTAAGGAATCAGTATTCTTATACTTCTAACCGAGTCTAGACTGAACAGCTAGCTGGGACTAAAATAAAGAGAGATGCAAGGCACATCCTATCCATCGGTCCCGGTACAGCATTTCTACCACCGTTTCTACCAGTGGTCATGAAGACCGATGTTTCCCATTCTGTTTATCCACTTGCAAGCCATTCTGCAGCACAGGTGGCACCCTGAGATAACCCTCCCAGCCACACAACAAGTGACTTCTGCAGTCCATTCAGATATGATTTGAGCTCTGGACTGTCAAATGTGTAAGCACTTAGAAGGGAAAACCTCGTGTTTAGCAAGGAAACACCAGAATTACTTTCAACATCTTTTTCACCCGCACCGCACTGTCTAGCGCTAGCGCTGCCTTTTACTTCTCTACACAACTTCATCGGGCCAATACTGCATCCACCTCCCATTTAGATCAATGGATCTAAATATATTTTTAGATTATATTCTTATCAATAGCACTCTAATCAGAGCGAGACACACTGTGACAGTTATGCGACATCCAGATTTGTACAGTATGACTAACAGCCCAACAGAAGACGGCTCACATTTTTTCATGCCCCTGCAGAGCACAGAAACACTTCAAAGGCTTCCTTGCTCTGAGGCTAGCCTAGATAGTAGTGTTACAAGCTCTAAATAATGAGAAGCACGTATCCTTGGCTGCACATCCGATGTGTGTAAATTCTACTCCATATAGGAGCTGCATTTTGAAATGGAAGGATACGAGCTGCTGCATGCTATTAGAGCGAGACCAAGAACACTCCTCCAGCTTAACAGTACCGTGAGCGCCTGCCAACATGCCGCAATATTAATACTCAAAAGTTCCTCTGTCACATGTTTAATACATTTAGAGTGGGCCCACTCTACTTCCCACTAGATCACCAAAATATAACGAGTACCATGTGGTTAGCAGCCACTGCAAGTTAACCAGGTTTAGACAACAAAGTTCAGGGAATTTCAAGGGGATTTAGATACTGACACCCAACGAAATTCACTGAAGTTAAGACTGTGTATAATTTTTTCCTACCACAAATAGGAGACTGAGTTCTATCTGCACGTTGTAAGGATGGCAATTTAATCCACCGTTATAATTTAGACGCGTAGAAAACTGTGAATGCCATATACCCTGTGGAATTTACTTGCCCGTGGCAAGACTGCCGCACAGGCAGCATCCGCAGGGATGGCCGCTGCAGTTCGGTGTTCGGAGAGATGAACAAAGCAAGGACACGAAGAGCACGGACTTGCCCGGGTACCTCACCCAGCTGTTAAGCCAGCCAGCGCAGACATCACGGCACACGCTGCCATTCTTACGCCGATATCCTTATGGGAACGTTTTTACTGTGACTTCTTTCTCCTACAGCTTCCCATCAGGTGATGCCAAAAAGACATGGAAAATGTGTATGCATGCCCAGTCACGTTACTATAATTAGCGTCAGGAGCAATGGTTCTTTTAAGAGCTCTAACCACAGCCCGTAAGAGCACAAGGTTCACTACCACGCATTATCAGACTTTTTCAGAGATTATTTTTTTTCCTTCAGCTAATTACATAATTGGAGCTACTTTCCAACAAGCATCCCGCTGCCACAGGCTGCGACGCTCGGTGTGCCTTTGAGGGGAACTAAAACAGCAGAAGCAGTTTTACAGAGACTGGAGGTACAAACCGCTCTCCTCCCAGGCAGCTATCGGTGCTGCTCGAGCTGGGAAGGGATTCGACTGGAAACTTGATTTGAGAGGGAACACTGTGAACGCAAAAATCTCATTTTAATTTTCAAGAAAGTGTCACAAAACTGATTTTTATCTCCCGTCCCTCTTCCTTCTCTTAAAATGTTTGAAGCATTACTTGAACTATTTTTATAAGAGAAAAAAATGGCACCGATACAGAAGTACTTTAAAAATAGGAGAAAATACAGAATGGCAGAATGAGACACTAAGATTTTACCTACGTGAAAGATTTCTCTCCGTTTCTTTACCTCCCATTTAAAAGAAACGGAAAAAGGACTTTAGCAGTTCTATTCAGTAAAGCCTTCGCTGAGTAAGAAGGGGCCAAATTCATAGTCTGTTCCTTGCATGCAGTTATTTTTGTTTCTTATCGCAGCTGCATCAGATTTTTGCTTCTTACTCGTTACATACAGATAAACAGTCAGAGGCAAGCCGAGTTTTCTTTTCCTTCTTGCATCATTACTGTTTTCTAACTGTCAGAGCAGGTCGGCTCGTGAACAGCCTCCCGAGAGAACTGTAGTGCCTGAAAGAGATTAACGATGCCGTTGCTGTATGACAGCAGAGGGCTAGGCTGACTGAGGCGGGGAGGTTGTTCAGCTGAGCATAAATCAGCCTCACAAAGAGAAGGAGAGATTGGATCTTGCGTGAGGATGACAGGTATGCCGTCTACCGCAGGCAGCAGTCACATCAGTGCATATGTAATTATACGGGGTTAAGGATATACTAATAACCGCAGTACTAAAGCGGAGATGTTTGGATATGCTGGTATCTGCATTGTTATCAGACACTGATTGTTAAAATGTGCTCACGTTGCTACGTCTTCCGTGCTATTGCTTTAGCACGCGCACACGCTCCTACGCTATCTTCCTTTTGCTGAACAGACGTGTCTTTTATACCATTGCATGGTTTTTAGCATTAGCAGCCAGAAAGAATTCCCTTCGGCTTCAGGTTAAGCTTGCAGAGCTGGCATGCAGAAATTGTGCATTTCATTCTGAAATTCAGAAGATACAGTACAGAAGTCACTAAAACGATGATAAACATGGGACATTAGCATCCAACATACAGACATATGTATGTCTGTACATACAGACATAGTAAAATGTTAGTCTAAAATGCAAGCCATTTAAAATACCAGCTATGTTACATCAATGCTGTGATAAATTCCCCTCTCTCTCTCCCTCTCACTTGACTTCAGAAGAAAATTCTCAGGTAGCAGGCCTGATTCAGTGTTCACAATCCTTTTCTTAGTTAAGAATATCTCATGGTGAATTTAATCAAATACAAATAGCACAAGAGGGCTTCAAAAGAACTATAATAAGAAGGTGACTGGTTTTCCAAGAAGGAGAAGGAAGGTCTGCGCCAGGAGCTTGGAACATCCCGATAATACGATGTGCAGATGACAAGATGACGTCCCAGTCTTTCCAGAAACGATGACTCAAACAAGAAAACAGAAGGGCAAAGCGTAGGTTGGGGTTGTTTCAGATGCGTGATAGCACAATCATCAGGAAGGGCACTTACTGAACCTGCCGTCAGGTGACCTAAGCTGGGCTCCTGGCTCCGACACTGCCCTCCTGTGTGACCTTGGGCAAGTCACTTCAGCAGTAACTGGAATAGTAAGAACTGGAACAGTAAGCACTACTCTCTTTTTTTTTTTTCCCCCCTCAGATGTTTAGATTTTTAAAACAATTGACAAAGAAAAAACATGCCTTAAGCATCTTAGGAACCTATCTGTTATTACTTTATAATGGCTGTGCAGCACAGTGATCTTGCAGCTGTTTTATGAGGAATTCAGAAAAGCAACAAACAACTTGCTTCTATTAAAGCATCCTCTGAAATAACATCGTACATTTGTTAAACTTCAAGGTGGAACTATCCAGGTGTGAATTGTATAGAATGATACCATACTGACACGGAAAATTGCCTTTATACATGTCACCGAGGAAGCTCATGTGGCACTGGATGAACTAGGATTTGCTTTGGAAAGGTATAAATAGTACTATATGCTGTCTCTTAACAGAGAGTCTAGGTAGAATACTGTTCCGTAGAAAATTTAATGCCAAATACTGTCCACACTTTTGCTTAAACTCCAGTAAAGCTTCGAAGTGTTTGTTAGCCTCCGTTAAAGTTTGCCTCGCAAAACCAGATCAACACACATAAAGCAAAAACTGAGGGGAAAAAAGGCTACGCTGGGATACAGGGGAAGGCAGGATCGAAAGAAAATTACTATTTGTTGGAAAATAAATCCTAGATCCACTACTCCAGAAGAGGTTTGAGTGATCCTGGTACCTTTTTACTGAAACGCCTCACAATCATTTCACCTATTTACCCTCTCAACACACTGAGCTAAGGAATATCCTTATTTACAAAAGAGGGTTGCAGAGGACAGAGGATTTAGGCTGCCCCTGTCCCCCGAAGCACCAGGCTAGCGCCCTCACCCATGGATAGGGTACACTCCTGCTGCCGCACAGCTACGTAGTATTTGCTGGCTACCGGCGTGCCTCAAAAACCCGTTACACCACCCACAGTTCCCGACAGCAAGGAAGGTCTCCCCGGGTCTCCCCTCCTCAGCAGGGCTGTAGAAGCTGGGTGGACCCTCGGTGCCATCTCATCTCTCTGCTACCAGATAATCTACAAGTACTGTGGTGTAATTCATACAAGCCGATATCGGCTTGGGGCCACCCTGCAACAGCAGTTGACTGGAGGGGGGTGTGTGTGTGTGTGTGTGTATAAAAAAAAAAAATCAAGCTGTTCTGTTTAAAATAATTCACTCTTGCTGTTGTATTTATTTATGTAATTTGATTTTCTAGGCTACCCTTCAGATATAAGGATGCCGAACTGGGGAGGTGGAGCCAAATGTGGTGCCTGTGAAAAGACAGTGTACCATGCTGAAGAAATCCAGTGCAACGGAAGGAGTTTTCACAAGACGTGCTTCCTCTGCAGTAAGCTGGGCTACACTGTTTTAACTTCACAGTATTCCCATAGCTCTTTCATTAAAGCTAGTAAATTTTCTTTTGTACTACTTTGCATGCAATAAAGAAGCTTCATAGTTTCCCCAATTCAACACGTTTGCTCACGGGACACCTACAGCAGGCTTTTAAACACCCTAAGCGACGTACAGGACGGTAGAAGCAACCAGCATCAGACTGAATTTCACACAGGGAAAGTTTTGTAAAGCTTATGCATCTTACTTCAGGGAAAGTTCGAAGCAGAGGGCAGTCACATGTTAATCATCCTACCTAAAGTACAGCACAGTGAGACTGGTTCTGGTCCGGCACTCTCTAGAAACCTAAAGATGAAACCCGTTTCCCATCCTTTCAGTCACGGAAGGATGGAAAATGACCGTATCTGTTTTCAAAGCAGGAGTCACTTTTCTGAAATGCCAGTCTGCCGCTCCATAGCGGCTCTTAATAATCAAGCCCAGTTGCCTAGCCCTTTACCCCAGGCAACCTGCCTCTTGGGCTCCTGGCTTTCCTTTTTTCAAACACGCATTGGATGATTTTTGTTAGGGACACTAGAGTGCTGCAGAATCACGGTATCTAGGTCCATCTCCAAGAAACCCTACCTTCTGTCCACAATGTAGCACATGACGCGTTTGTTTCAAGTTTAAAAGCCTAGAAGAACGAAACAAACAGTGCTGGTAAGACTGGAGTATGTCTTGTTAGGATATTATAGGAGATGATTACTTTTGTGGTGAATCCTAACATTAATTCATTTCATACAGGAAAGCTGAACGACATTACCCCAGTGTCATCAAAATCTCCCACCAACACCCTACAAGTGTCTCAGTCTCCTCCTTCCCCGTATTTCATATAGAACCATTTCACTTACTCTTTTACTCCACGCACCTCTGTAATGTTTAGCAGGCAGCTTCCAGGAATTTTGCTTTCTCTGCAGATGAGCTGGCACTGGAAAAATTAGAGAAGGGATCAATTCAGCTCTGTTTGCCCTCTGCAGAGGGAATAAACGATTTGATAAGGACTAAAGATAGCTAAATAGTTTATTTTGCAGACAATGCTTGAGATTTAGTACCTTTGCAGTACGAATTCCAGCATGACAGCTTTGAAGCCACTGAACCCAATTTTTCACCCTCCTTTCCTGGATGGATAGAGAATTCCTGTTTGGAAGCACGAGATGATTGATATTACATGCTTAGATGACACGGTACAGCGCTAGGCAGAATCAGTCCAAAGGACGCTTGAGTCTTCTTTGCCTTTCTCCCAGTGCCCTGCAAGCGATGCCTAAAAGACTGAGTAAGAAAGAATTCCTTCAAAAACTTTTCAGTTAATTGACAACCTTCAGCCAATTCTTAGAGAATGGTAAAAATCTCAGTTCTGTGAAAACTAGAGACTTCTTATTGCTTCCATGTGCCGCCCAGAACAATACTAGATATCAGAGAAACTATAGGTAGAGGGACATAAATGGGGTAATTATGACAAAAGCTTTAACTGACGCTTGTGCTTTATCAAACGCTAGAAAATGATAAGGCAGAAGATGACAAATGAGTAGACATTCCAGTATCTAAGAAAAACAAACAGCTGTCCTAATAGGGCATAGTTAATAATATTTCTCTCCCACCTAATACTGGAACAAGTTTAAGCTTCATTCGTAACATAACTGATTTTTTGTGTGTGTGTGTGTGATTCATGATAAAAAACAATATATCCATAGTTCTGCCAAGTGTTTCTTTGGTTTGTTGTGGAGGGGTTTTTTTTGTTTGTATTTGGTTGGTTGGTTGGGGTTTTTTGGAGGTTTGGGGGTTTTTTTTAGTATTTTATTTGCCCCTTGTAGTTGTAAGTCTAAACTAAATCATTAATAGGTTAGATGATACTAAAAAAAGTATTCCCAGTGGAAGTATGTTTAAGGTCAAAAACTGAAGATGCATCTAAGCCCAGCTGGCATATGAGAGGTGTATTAATTGGCTTTACTTTTCCCATGAATCACACACACTAATCAGCAGCTCCGGACAACTCAGTATCACGTATCATGTTCATGGGCTTTTTGATGAACCAGTTACAGGATTTCATTTCTCAAGAGAAGAAAAGCAATCCTCCCCGACCTAATCTCAGGTACAGAAACAGTTAACCTATTTAGCTGAGCTTTTATATGCTTTTATATTAAATATATATTTTAAATATATTTTATATTTTACATTATATTTGACCGGACACACAAAACACAACAGGATTTTTCGACCAAAAAGTTCAATTCAGGCAAAATTATAAACAATTCAAGCCAACCTGTTAACACAGTAAGCATCAGACAAGCTAAACTATAAATCACGCTCTCCTCCACTCCATACTTTTTCCCTGCAAACGTTATGAGAGAGAAACTTCTTCCCAACAAAGCCTCCTTCCCGTGCAGATTGCTGTTTACCTACCTCGTTTCCCCATCAGCTTTTACTTTAACCGCAGCCGTGACGGACATTTGGCAGGATCTCATGCCATCAACCTGAAACTTCTTCATGCCTGCTCGTGAACGGTATCTGTTGGCAGATGACAGGTCTCAAAGTTATTTCAACAACAGCACTTCAAGGGCTTTTGCTCCATCTGTCGTGGTGAATTGATACTCTATCCCTAAGGTGCCAGAAATAGAAACACTTTATCTACTGCTAGAGTTTCCATCATCCCTTAACTCCCTTAGCAAACATAATTATCATCTCAAAGCAGAAGAGACTGTAGCACGACGAGATCAGGTTCACACATTTACAGAAGCCCCCCGTTTTATTTCTATTACCTATAAATCTATTACCTAAAGGTCTTTGCAAATTATTTTCCCCTCTACGCGGTACAGTGACAAGATTAAAGCTGCAGAGGTTCCAGTATCAGCTTAAATTCTCCGACGTGGATGAATTTTAGACTCACAGCAGGACAGTCAAAATAAACGCGGAGGGAAAAGGGACTAATCAAACACTCAGCTAGCTCTTCTAGAGCTTGAACTTCCAACCGCTTTCAATACTGGTGTATTTCACAGGTTTCTGTTGCTTACACGAGCTAAGCAACTTCATTTTCCAAGCTATCAACAGCCCATGCGTGACTGGAATGCCCCCTGTGGGGCAGGCACTTGTTCAAGGGTAGTTTTAGGGAAAGTTTTTCCCTATTTCTCTCCCCCCCCCCATCAACCACTGTTGACACAGTGAACAATTTGATCGAAGCATTGAAATTTTAGTTTTTAAGCATACTACGAAACCCTGGGTTTTTTTCTATAGGCACTCCGAACTGAAAGCTTCATCCTCTCTCGATGGGGCAGGGGCTGTCTCGTGCCGAGTTCCCAAAACAGTGCAGCATACGCAGCCACCAAGCAGATGAGGAGCGTAGCTACTATTTTCTTCCATTCATTATTGTTCAGTTTCCATGCATAAGCGGCAAGGAGATCCACCGGATCGGTAACAGAATTCAGTCTCTAAACACTGACCAGGTCTCAGAGGAGCAAAGAACTGGGGAGAGAACAATCTAGCTTCCACGGCCACTCGATGAGAGTAACCACGCGCGAGACCGGCCTCAGCAAGGCTCGTTACCTCTACGTGTGGCTTGTGTTTCTCAAAACATGGATACTTGCTTACTGAGATCCCCAAATAAGCAGCTGTTAGCACTCATTAACTTTTGGCCCTTCCAAGTTGAGGCTAGGGTTAAAGTAGTGCCATAGAGGACATAACTTGTATTCCATTATGCATGTCGGGCGTTCCTATGGCACCTTCTGTCCAAAAGTCTCCCAGACTTCTCCTAGTGAGCTAAGCCAAGCAGTACTTCTCTATAACGAACATGACTAGGAAGAGGTCTCTGTTTTTGGAACAGCTATAGTCACACTCTTGCCATCCTGGAGGAAGCCTAACAGAGCTGAGACTACCAGTTATTCGGGATCACTGCTTCGCCTTGCACTACAGCTCAAACAAATGTGACTAGATAAATAAAATATATATTCTGCTTGACTCTGGACATGGTACGTACATTACAGCCTCTTTTAGAAACATGCCACCCTAAACCAGCGTGGGCTGAGATGAGAAAGCCACCGCAGACTCAGAGTGACTATTCTGAAAGGTGCAGATGCACAGCAGAATCTTTACCCCTGCCACCTCTTTTTTTTTTTTTCTTTTTTTTTTTTTTTAAAGATTTGGGAGTTTAGGATGATAATCTCAAATCCATTTTAAGCTTCACAGATGCAGACAAATTGTCTTGACAAGCTCCTGATTTTCCTAGGGTTAGAGTATAACTTTAGAGTGGCAAAAGAGCACGTTGTGTGCACGCGCAACTACTTTAGCAACAGCTCAGTGAAGTTTTATACCGACTACAGGCTAACACCCTCCTTCTCCTGTATTTTTAAAGATACACAAAAATAAAACACTAATTGTAATTATGCTGAACCACATAAATTCAAATTTGAAAATGCAAATGTCCATATGTGCCCCTCTCTTCCCGTTTTCAGTGGCCTGCAGAAAAGCTCTGGACAGTACCACAGTAGCAGCTCACGAATCTGAAATCTACTGCAAAACTTGTTACGGGAGAAAATACGGTCCCAAAGGGATTGGCTTCGGACAAGGGGCAGGATGTCTCAGCACTGATACTGGTGACCATCTAGGCTTGAACCTCCAACAGTGAGTTAAATCCCACTGACAGCACCTTTTTCTGGTACTACTTGTCACTTAGCGGGGTATTTTAGATATTTTATTCTGTTTCCATAACAACATCTAGCATAAGTAGCAGAGCAGACTTTCCTACCACCTTTCCTTCAGTGGACATAGTAATTTACCAGTTTTTAATGACGTTCAGTCTCTTTAAGCCTTCTTTATAAATCATCTCCTCCTTCAATGGGCAATTATTCTGCAGAAGCAGCCTTTATATGCAACCACAGACGTAAATATTCACTGCAATTGTAATTTGCCATTAGTAGCACAGTGGTAAAGTCACATTCACCATAGAACATAAAAGGTTTGGGTTTTTTTTTCCCCCCCCTATCAGAGGCTAAAATACAGTTAGGTTTTACTGTTAGAGAAATAATCACACTACCACATACTGTTAACTCTCCTCTCAATGGGGGAAATAATGTTTCTAAATCCTCCCCGTGGCTCGAATAACAGTCACAAACACACCGAGAGTATGTTTGAACAAAGGAATTCTAATGGGATACCATCTTCCAAAAGCCTCAGCTGCACATTAATTATCTCCGACAGTACATTTTTATAGTATTTTTCTACGATTCTCAAAGCTGCCCATTTCCAAATCAACGATGCCTTCTTCTGATATTGCTATAAGGAAACCAATTAACCAATATGCTGTACAGGAAATAAAAGCTTAAATAATGTATTTAACTGTAGCTCCTTGTAAGATATGAATCCATCACGGGCAGAGTTCTGTACCACAAACTGTCATGGCCTGTAGATTTAATGACCTGTTGCAGTCCGACAATCCGGAAAGTCAAGTGTCATTCTGTGAAAGGCTTTAAGCTAGCACAAAGACATAAAGCACAGAGTCCAGAAATACAAAGCAAAGCTACTTTTCTGATGTGCTTTTGACCCTAGGCCAGCTAAGAACCCCAGTTCCCTGTCCAAACGTTACAGTGACTAATGAAACAACTGCATGCAAAATCTAAGGGTTATTTTCTGCTCGCTACTGAGTACCAGCAGATAGCCAGTTACAAAGAGAGGACTTTTGCTTGTATTTTCCCTCTTGCCTCTCAATAAAACAAAATTCTTTTTTACTTTCACTTTTCATTAATCTTTTCTGCATGTGGCTACTGTCAGCTCCATGTACTCAGCCAAAAACAGGTTACACCAGTGGTTACAGTATCGGCTTTTCAACCACACAACGCAGAATTCAATAGAATACTTCCATTCCCCCCACCACCACCACCACTTTTGCACGTCTAAGACCAGTAATTTAGTAGTTTTTATCCCTTACCAAGAAATCATGAAATCATATTTCTAGAATGAAGATAACATTTTTAAGCAGTATTTTAAAACACTGAAAACTTCTGTTTTAGGGGGTCACCAAAGCCTGCTCGCCCTTCTACACCAACTAATCCTTCGAAGTTTGCCAAAAAGATGGTAGATGTGGATAAATGTCCCCGTTGCGGCAAATCAGTGTATGCTGCAGAGAAGATCATGGGCGGAGGAAAAGTAAGTAGTTACTACAGCACTAGAAACAAAGCACGCTTTTATGATGGTGATAAACTATAGCTAGTAGGTCCTTGATCTTTTAAGTTTTCACTCATAGTCTCGATGAAGAAAACATGAGGGTGAATTAGCAAATTGCTCCAGAGTCCGACGTACTGACTTTCAGCTTTAAAACCATGTGCTTTTCGTAAGCCACCTTCAACTTTTTGTATCTTGTTGATGTCCGAGGAACAACTCCTGGCTACAGTACAGGCTGGCTCTTCTACCACTGTCATTCTACTAACATCTCTGGGGATATTTATAATTTAAACATTTATTTGTAGTGGCAATTGCAGATAAATTGAAGAGATTCTGTGACTAGAAAGCCTGCCTCACATGACGCGCTAGCTCTCTGCTCTAGGAACTCTCACTAGAATATTATCTCTGCACATCAAAGAAACGGCCAAAAGAAGAGTAATATCTATAGCGCTCTGCTTTTTACTAAGCCTCCATTAATAACAGAGTCACTAGGTAAGATCTTGATATGGGATAATAAAGTAATTGAAAAAAAGACTAATCTAGAATGACTAAAAATAGAAGCCATAAGACCAACAAGACAATTTTAACCTTTTCACACCATAAAGAGCAACAGTGTGTTGCGTCCGGTATCTGCTAGCTGTGCTCTTCCTGCAATATACAATGAATTGTCTTAATTTCCTCAGCCTTGGCATAAGACGTGCTTCCGCTGTGCTATTTGTGGGAAGAGTTTAGAATCTACGAATGTTACAGACAAAGATGGAGAGCTCTACTGTAAAGGTAAGAATTGTAAACGAGCTGAACTGGGTTACTGAGTCAATCTAAAATTATTCTTTTTAAGACCTGGTATTGCCATCACGATTTACCTTGCTGCATGCTTAACAACTTCATGAAATTTCATTTCATCTTTTTTAACAACTTTCTGAAAGCAAAGAGCTATGGTGACATTGCAGTTGCATCTTCTACTATTAACATTTAAATTCTGAAGTTGTAATTTTTCTACAAATGACATCCTTTCAGATCTGTCCTCAGACCTTCTAACAGGAACGCTGGCCGTATCTGCTGGGCAGATTCTTGTACCTGCACAATCTCTCTCACTCAAAAAAAACCCCCAACCCAAAGCAACCAACCAACCAAACAACCCAAAGCACAAAGACCCAGATCTTCAAAGGTCATCTGTCTAAGGTCACGGTCCTAATTAGACTTCTTCCCAGTAAGAGTTAAAAGATACTTCCACTATATTGGTAGTACAGAAGGTGATGCATTCATGCCAAATTATACACCCAGATGTTCTTCTCAGATCAAGAAAGTTCACAGGACTTCACTTGACTCTTAGGAAGAGCTTAAAGTGAAAAATATGCAAAGTTTTTATATCCTAGGCTAAATTTTACAGAGAGTCCTAGAGAAGAACACTTCAGTTTTGTGACTTTGGGTGCAGTCTGACAACTGCAGGTGATCAAATTAGGATATTTTGATAAATGTGCTGACCATTACTACTTCAGAACTACTAGCAGAGTTGTGGTAAGTAACTATGAACACACTTAGCAATAGAGAGTTAAAATGAAATGGTTTGAACTACCATCAATAGTTTCTGGACTAAGCTCTAGTTCTTTTAACCTCCTTTGAAAACCTCCGACTTATCACTCAGTCTGTATTACTCATACAGACCAAGTTTTACTGAGTATTTTCAGACTGGAAAGTAGTTTTAATGAAAATATTACTTAGATCCTAAATACAAACAGTTTCTTCTTTTTTGGAGAAGATTAGATGTGACTTTTGTTTAATTCAAATATGTGATTCCAGTTTCACTATTAGAACCTGTCGACACTTCCGAGAAAGACGCTGTTTCAGATTTCCTTCCTTTTATTAACTTAAGTTTGGAAGCAGTACTAAAAATGAAAGTCATTTACCTTTATATGAAAACATTCACAATACCATTTACCTCCCTCCTTCTTTTGCAGTTTGCTACGCAAAAAATTTTGGTCCCAAAGGAATTGGGTTCGGTGGCCTCACTCAAGTGGAAAAGAAAGAGTGCGAATGAGGAGAAATGGATGCAACAGACTCAAACTGCTGTTGATGCCACCGAGTGATAGTTGTCAAGTAAACCGTTATCACATATTGCTAAGAACCTAGGGCATTTGTTTAATATTTTCCACCTTGCAGGAAAAACTTGTGAGCTTGTATCTTAAGAAATTCTTAGAATAGCTTAAAAAGGTACAGTGATAAAACTAGATTCATGTTTGTTTTACAGTAAATAAAGACAAAAAACCTCATGGAACATTATTCATGGAACATTATTGCTTCTTAAACTAGTATTTACCACACTTCAGACTGGAATTTTAAAGACTCAGCATACTGTCCCGTTAAGACAGAGATACCTTATGCAGCGCAAGGGTCAGAGTGTTCCGACTTAAGCCATAGTTTCCTTCCTTCAGAATGTTACGCCGTCTGTATTTCTACCAATCTCCGAATGGAGTTTTGAACGTTTTGACATTTTGTGTTATGGCAAAGTAGATGTTATTCACTTTGAGACAATTAAAAAGGATTTGAAATTCTTTCTCTCAAAGGGAGATATTTCTGAAGAAAAACAACATTTGCTTAGAATACAGTGTTGTAAGTTTTGTAATCGTATGTTTTCAAGCTACAATAAAGTACTGATATTGCTTCACATTATTTTTACTCAAATTTGCTTATGCTTTATGTGTTACAATGTCGCAGATAAATGCATTTCACTGACACGTATGAAATCGCCCATTTCTTAACTACAAGAAATCTGTTTCATTACACTACTTTACTCTTATGTTGTCAGTTCTAGACGGTATTTAACTTTAATGTTCTGATCTTTATCTGTTTCCCTGCTGGTTTTCATTATTTCCTACTTTGACTTACATTCAAAACCACACTGCCCAGCTGGCCACTCCAGACTGATGTTGTAGCCTTTTCTTGAGAACATGGCTGACATCTAGCTATTCAAGATCTATGCATGCAGCTGGGAATAATTCCCTTGTTTTATATACATTGCTATTTTCCATCATGAACTTACCCATTTTCATACGCTAACAGGGCATATTTAGATGCAAAACATAAGGCAAAGAGTCAGGCTTTTCCTTATGGTTTTGTGCCTACCTGTTCTTAAATACCTCACTGGTCACATATCCCTGGAATCTATTTCAGTCTGTAAAAATACACTTAGAAGCAAGAAAGCTCTATTTTATTACATGTAAACCCTCCAAATACAAAGACTTAATAGAGGTTTTCACAGCATAAGCAATAAAATTGCAGGGTAATTGTAATATTAAATTTCTCAATATGAACACTCCCCTTAATAAAAGAAAATTACATTTGAAAGTTATCTGCAAAATAAAGCAAAGGGTACCAACATGGTTTTGTTAGAAGCATGAAAGCTCTATTTTATTACATGTAAACCCTCCAAATACAAAGACTTAATAGAGGTTTTCACAGCATAAGCAATAAAATTGCAGGGTAATTGTAATATTAAATTTCTCAATATGAACACTCCCCTTAATAAAAGAAAATTACATTTGAAAGTTATCTGCAAAATAAAGCAAAGGGTACCAACATGGTTTTGAAATTCTGCCCTAAAAACTTACCTTTAAAAAAATATATTCTTAGTGTCACCTCATCACAGAAAATTTCCAATAGTTTCAGCCCAAACTATATATACACATACAGTGACTGTTCCATATACAAACCTGCTGTAACTTATGCAAGATAGGTTTAATACTTAAAACAATAATAAAAACAAGCAACTTCAGAAGAATTTGTAAAAATTAACAAAATATCCAGTTTTATTTAGCTTTCAGCTCAATGGTTTTAGAAATTAAGCAAAAATTCATACAGAATGAACATTTTTCTCCTTTGCCAGATGAAAAAGGTTGTATTGCTTGGTCCAGTCAACTACATTGGGTTTGAACATACCAAAGCAACCGCACTGAAAAAAGTCTGCAAGATTCTGGAAGCATCCAAGACTGAAAAGGAGAGAAATATCCATTAATAAACCTAATAAAAGAAGACTGCAGGAATCAAAAATACACGTTCACCATGGGACAGTACTTAAGATATAAAGCTGTCAATGAAGACAGCTCTGGGAGAAGAAACGTAAGAACAGTTCTCTACTGACCATTATTCCTTTGTTGAACTTTTACAACCTGTATTACATTTAAGAATGAGAGCAGCTCAAATATTTAAAAGTTAGTACTTAGTAAGATCTCATCTGCTACCACACGAGGAAATACGGACTTCTAGTCTAACAGGGAAACCTTGGTACTAATTTCTCTATTGAGCTAAATACCGCAAGAGAAGTCAGAAAGCAGCCAGTTCATACCTCAATTCTCTTTCTGAACCTACAGAACAGACACAGAGATTGATGAACAAATTAAAGGACGACACCCCCTCACCCCCAAAATAGCATCTACTGATTAGAGCTGTGGGCTGATTTTGGCACATCTTTTTCCTAGATACACAGCCATGCAGAAAGAACCCCAGTAGCTCCCATGCTGCCTGTTTATTTCCTAGGGCAAAGGAACTTCTCAGCAAGGAAAATGAGGTCCCTTTCCTCCTCTTAGCACAACTCATAACAGACACGACTAGCACGTCCATAGACCACCAGTTTTTTGCATTTATGAAGTAGTGAAGCAAATCAGTACGGAAGAGATACATGCTTAAAACACACCACGCATTAATACTCACTTGTATGGAGTTCTCCTGAGTGAAACAGGATGCTTAGAAGATTTTCTCTGTATCAGGAGGTTCATTCTCTCATGCGAGGTCAATCCCAAGAATGCAATCTTACAGAAAAGAAAACGTAAGTAACGGTTAAAACGTGAACATCACAAATTAAAATTCTGGTGACACCACAAGATGCTATTGAGAAGGGAGGGAGGGGAAGGAGGTTGGCCGTATCTAACAAATAAGTAATTACTGCCATAATAAATGACCGAAAAGTATGTTTTTAAATGTCACTTGGACTAAAACAGAACCCAGCAAGCTGTAACATGAACACTTCTACTGAGAAGGCAAGCTTAATTGGGATGACTGTAAAGATTGCACTTTTACAGATGTCTGTAGAAGTATAAGATCTGTAGCAGTTAAGCACCCATCTCCTCAGATTTTGTCTATGTTCTACCACGCAAATTGGTAGAAAAAGATTACTCGAAAAAGACAAAGTAGCTTAGCAAAAAAGATGAAGTAGATGTCAGAGACTCAAAAAAAACTTTTTCATTTTCTTGATTTGATGTCTTCTTTCACCGAGTTTCACAACGAGATTTATGGGTTTGGGGGTTTTTTGCATTTTTGCTTACCTATTCCTTTTTCCATTTTCTTCTTTTTTTTTTTTTAATCAACATAAATCTTATAAGCCTTTATAAATGGCTGCAAGGTTGCTTTGCTGAATGACATGCTAAATATCACAAAGCAGTACATTTACAAATGACTGTGTACGAAACACAGTAGTTAGCCGTAAATACCCTACCTAGATCCCTTTTTTCCCAGGATGGTATCTCAGTGTCTTGGGCATTACAGAAATCTAGCAGTACACATTTAAAATTGTGGGGTTTGTTTTTTTTTTTTAAACAAGATGTAAAACAAGTCTTTAGCTCAGTATGCTTAACACATATTCAAATGACACATCTTTCCTAAAAGCTGCTAAACAAGCTGTTTCCTAGATGCTTTAAGACAGCTCTTCTCAGTATTGGTTGCATAGCCAAGCTCTCCGAGAAAAACATAAACAAGAAATTTGACAGTCCTCATCAGGATAAAATCCAGGTCATATATTTTTATTGTAGCAATGGGATTTAATACAGTCTAATGACGCACTGCTGAGCTCTGCCATAGAGTTTTCAATTCAGGACTAATTGTACTAGTGAGCTTCCGTGCCATTTTTGGGGTAGTAATACCAGTTCTATTAGTTAAATAAGTTTCCTGCCTTTAAATACATCTTTCTACAGGTCTGGAATTTTTGATGAGTACAAAACCCAGAATTCAGTTATAGGAATGATTTGCAGACTGTGATCCTACTTTTAACGTGGGAATGCTGAGCGCACAAGTACCCATAAAACTTAAAGGACTGCCCTGAGATTTAAGAAAAGCACCTAGATGTGACATTAATTAGTCAAGCTTTTACGGGAGCAAATCATCTAGGGAAAAGTTTTAATATGATGACTCTTTAAGTGAGGAGCATAAACCGAAGCAAAGTAATACCTGATAAAGCTGAACAGTTAGCCACAACGAAGCCCATACAGTATGAAAACAGGCTACTGCGAAGATATAGGAAACCCATGGAGAACAATATGTTATCTGCGTGAAGTACGTCCATGCTCCATCTTGATGATAACTTGTTGCGCAATGGTTTGACCAATCTGACAAGATACATAATCAGTTAATTACATTTTTAGGCCACTTAAGAACTGAACAAAGATTATTTGCATTGCAATTATTTACATAGCAATATGCTCTAGAAATACCATGTTTAATGTATCACATTCCCACTTAAAAGCACCCACAAGACTGCCTGCTGTTCTGGCTGCATAATCTTTACGTTATGTGTTCATAATCCACAGAAGGAACATTCAAGGCACTGCCTATGTACTTTTTATATGATATTGAAATCAGTCATCATGTCTCATTGTCAAGATTTCTGAAATTTTGCTTCATGCTTATTTGTAATTTTAGGACAAGAATTTATCATTTATCTTAAACACCATCATCAACAAAAGAAGACATGATGGTGACAATGCCAAGACAGCAGTGTTTTACCACTATTAAATAGACAAACTGGAATGTCCAATGTCTGTAAATTTCTTAAGAGATACTTAAAGCCTACCACATATGTATCTAACCCATAAAAAAACCCCAAACAAACTACAGCAGAGCAACTTTTTTTTGCCTCTATGTCAGTAGAACAATAAAGAGGTTTTCCCTCCCATGTTCCTTCACACACAGAAAATGGAGAAAATAATATGCTTTTTGCATACTTAAGACCACCACTGAAACAGAGGAAAGCAACTCATGTTCACACCCTGTGCCCTCCACTGCCATAGCTCGTTCACTTCACTTCACCCTGCGTTGAATATTGACTCATTTCAATATAATGTGAACTAATATAAAATAAAATGAACTCCCCCTACTTTCCATTTAAAAGGTTAGTGCTATGCTAATTCATCCTCAGGAACTACATAATAAGGGCTCTCCTCCAAGAAATTTCTTAATTTTCCAAAGTAACAGTTTGGATTTATTAATGAGATATACAGTTCTCTTCTTTTCAAAGTTATCACTACATTAAAAACAAAAAGAAACTTTTGCAGGTGTTCAATATAGGTATTTCCAAATAACAAAAATCAATAAAGCCTTTGCAATAATGTATTTACAAACTTATTTTCTATTACAGTAGATTACTTTCTAGTATCCAGACTAGAACCTGTAACCTGACCTTCCTCCACATGGCTTCCCTATTTCATCTCTAACAAAAATGCCTTCTGACATTGTATTTTCCAATGGACATCCCACTAGAGCCGTATCTCAGTTCTTACTCAACACAAACGTAATCGTATATTTGACCAAAGACTCAGCTATGATGTATTTTCATTTAAAGACAGAATTACAAGGTAACATCACTGCTGAAATAAGGTATCATTTGTGCAGGTATAATTACACTTGCTGGAAACAAAATGCTGAAAAATAAAGACCATACACACACGTCCCTGAAAGCTAAACTAAAATAAATTCATGGATACATACACAGAAGAGTTCCATAAAGCAGCCAGACACCGGTCATAGTCAGGAAAAACAGGAACAATAGATAGTAATGATGGTTCCCAATGCCTGAATTTGAGGTGAGGAAAAAAAGAGTTTGACATTTCAAAATTCAGCAGGAGTTGCATTTCCCCTTAACTTAATAGGAATAAAAAGAATGAAACCCACTTCTTCTTATTACCCCTGCTATCCTCAAGAGAGTTTGACAAGGCTGGTCTCTTTCTCAACTTTCTCCTGTAAGCTATCCCAATTTATATAATACAATTAGTTCTGATAAAGTCAACCAGGATTTGCCTCTTCTTCAGAGCATGCCTTCAGCTGTTTTAGCTAGATGAGGACGAATTATACAACCACAACTCTCCCCATGCACAGGACAATTGCCTCATATGACTGAAAAATCTAAGCTATTCAATTTAATGGTTTGACCTTTGTGTGCTTCAGAATTGCAAACATACGCATAAAAGCCCCAGACTTCCGTCAGAGAAACCGTTACACGAAGATATACAATTATTTTTCTTTAAATTACAATCAGTATTGCTCAAAGCTTTGAAACAATGCATCAGAAGGATGTCTCACCACCTTGTAAATAACAAACACTGTAAAAACATTTCCAAGTATTTAAGATTACAAAAAAAAAAACCATCGGCAAAAGAATATGCTAAAAATATACTGCTACAGATGTAAAGCTCTAACCTTTCTATCTTGAGCATCACCAGTAATGAGACAGAAAGGAAGAAAGAGGGAGTTTCTCAAAGAACACAAGAACATGAAAAACGCCCTACGGGGTTATCTCAGTGGTCCAGCTGCTCCACTTTACTGTCTCTAACAGTGACAACAGGCAACAGTAGTTCAGGAGGACACAGGAGCCTGGCCACTTTCTGGAGTTCACTCTCCTCATCCACAGCTACTGCATTAAAATGTCAGAGTGTGCATACTCGTCTAGTTCTTTTAGTATCTAGTTTTGGACACATTGACCAAAAATTTGTCTAAGCCCTTTCTGATCCTTCTGATACTGCCTGTATCTGCAAACCCTTCAGCAGCAAGCTCCAAAATTTGACTACCTGCCATGTAAAGACATTTTTTCTTTACCAATTTTAAATCCAATTGCTACTCTCACTGAGCCTCCCCTAGTTCTAGTATGATCTGCTTGGCGATTAACAGTTCTGCATTCACCGTAGCCACCATCTTCATTGCTACTTTTTTTTTTTTTTTTTAAAGTCACAATCATATCCCTGGTTCCTTCTTCTCTCAAAAGAAAGAGTCCCAGACTTTTTGGTCTCTACTCTTAGGGTGACCACTCCACCCCTTTAATAATTTCAGTTGCCTTTCTCTCTGCTATCTAATTTCCCTCTGGCACCTATCAGTAACCCTTCAGTATCAACTGTGTATTCTTGTATCAGGTGTGCTCTCTGTCTAAGGAGACAAATGTTATTTCTGCAATTGTTAAAATATGTGGTATTTTCAAATTTGATAAAACAAACACTCTCACCTATGCACTGTCCAATCCACAGAGAGTGTTGATCGTATCTGGCTACACATGAATCACAAGCAAGGCAATGCACAGATCTCAAAGGCTTCCTTACCTAGTTGAGGATGAAGGAAAAGAATACAGTCATAGCAAAAGCATCTATTTTGCCCAAAGTTTAGAGCATCATCTCATGGGCACCATCATATTTTGTACATTTACTGTGTAACAGACCTCACAACACAGAACATACATGAGAACTATACATCTTAATTTTACAAAAAAAGGGATGGAAATAATGATTATTTTATTAAGATTAGAGTCCAAGGATATCAAAGCATCCCTTTTGTCACCATAGAAGAAAAAAGAAATCTAAGTAATATAGAACAAACCATGCATGTAACACTTGCATGACAAGCAATGAGGAAAAAGGTTTTTTATAGCAGTATTGAGTAAAAGCCAGGTTCAAAAAGAAAACAAATACCAAAGGCTCACTTACAAGACACGATGTGCAAAATGTTCTGAAGTCCAAGCAACCTGCTTCTGCAAGAGCTACAATGTTCTGAAAGACAAAGTAGTTCGCGCTTGCATTTGGATCACATTTTCAGGGGAATCTATGAAGATTTTTACGTTAGGCTTTTTGCAGTTCATAAGTATTTTAAGTGCCAAGCATGACAGGAGTAAATACTTGCTCTTTAAAAAGGTCCATGAGAAACACAAAGCAGCAGAGACTACTGCAACTTCACCCATGCAGGACTATTCAGAAAAGTATCTCTATGTTCCCAAAATTAATAAATAATGTGAATGAAATATTCTTTAAAATGAGATGGTATTAAGATACAAGGCACCTCTCATACAGTCAGCCAGACTTCAGAGAGATGAGCAGAGCTGCTGTATTTACTGTTCCTTTATGAGTACTAGATAGACAATGTTTACTAGTCCTGTGGCAACAAGTTAAAATTGCAGTTTATTCTCCCTGGCAATCTGAAGAAATACAACTTCATGGAGAGCACAGAGATCACAAACAAAACGCTTTCCTTAATCCACAGGTTAAAGAGACCAAAATACTAAATTCTCTACTGACTGGCTGGCCATGAATTCTTCTTGCCATTCTAAAATCGAGCTAGGAAATAGCATGTGAATTACACGATGCTTAAGCACAAAAATCAAACCATTGTACACATCTTCAAAGCATCTGACAAAATTCAAGCCATTTCCAGCCTTTGGTATGTCTTATGAGCATGGAGAATTGTAGGAAAGTGCTGTGAATCTCTTTCTAACCCTAGACAACTGAAGAGGAAACCGTATGAAATTTCTATTTATTAAGTGAAGTTCTACGTGAATTTATATCACAGGTAACATCAGTGGTATGGGTCTGTACGATGTTTGGCCAAAGCTCCCATTTCGATGAGAAGATGGAGGCAAGGAAATTATGGCAGGATGATGAAGATAATTTTTCCTACTGCTGCTTGTTTCCTTATCTATGATCTATGTTGTTCAATGACAGAGCTAAGAACTCTTAGAAGAACAAGGAGTATTCCGCTGCTTTCAAGTTTAACAAAGCTGCACATGATGACAAACAAATCAACCAAAAGTACATATGTGTTGCACCAGGTGAGCTCTTTCATTTGTTTTTATGAAATCACCTACCTCTTTTCTTTCTTTTTCTGAAGTCTTAATATATCCAGGATCAGTTCTCCAAGTTTTATAGAAATAATAAAGAAGACCCACCACGCTGAACATGACAGTGATTTCAAGAATTGTATCTGTTACATGTAATATTCAGGTTAAGGAATATATTCTTATACCATGTATCACCGCTATTTGTCAAACTAACAAAATATTCTAAAATTAGTTTATGTTATTTTACAAGCAACACACAAAAAGGAAAAGAATGACTTTCACTTTTATAGTAGGATCCTCGCTGTCCTTCAGAGGCCATCGTATCAGAGAAGTTGAATATTCTGTCCAGTTTGAGTGCTGGAGAAGACTTTTACAACTGTATAAACCTGCATCACAATACAGCTCCCTGTCATCCTCACTAGCAGAGTGCAGACTTTTGCCTTTGAATATTTAACAGATATAAAATTAATTCAATTTTTTTTTTTTCCCCTCTGAAGTTCTTCTATTTTTATTGAAACACCACACCACCTGAATTCAATTTTTTTTTCCCCTCTGAAGTTCTTCTATTTTATTGAAACACCACCAATCAGACATGCATAGTTATTAAGCTTCCAGCAGCTGTGAGATTTGTTTGACTGATGCATACGCCCCTAAGTCATTGAACAGGCTCTTACTCAGACTGTTTTCTAAGTCTTGCCCTTTCTTGTTTGTTTCAGCTAAAACAACTGAATAAATTCAGACAGAAAAATGCAACTGGAAGTCATCCTGGAACTATCTTTGTCACTCAAAAAACCAAGCATACACTGCTAAGCACTTCTGAAGGTAATGGGACAGCTACTGGGAACCCTTCTTCCCTCACAAATATACTAGAAAATCCATGGTGATGAAATGACAAATTTCTGGTCTAACTGCACATTTTTCTTCTTGCACAGCGTTTACTTTTACCCAGTGGTTGACTGTTTTAATTACAGTATATGGAGGGAATTCATCTCTCACGAACTCCAGAGAAGGAGACTTAAACTCAGTACTTTTTATATATGGTTATTTGCTGCAACTTCTCTAGCAGACAAATTATTATTATACATGAAGGAGGATGCACGGTCATTAGGAACATAATTTTTACACTATGGACTAAAAACATCTGCACGTCAGGCGAAAGCGGGAGAAAAACACGTCAAGATTAACTGTCTCTATACAGCAACAGAGGAATGTGGAGTGGGACAAGTTTCATACCAACTAAATTCAAGCATCAAACTTGAGAGCTCGGGCTGCTAAAGAACAGTCCATGATGCCACCAAGGAGCAGTCAGAGAGCCCAAGCCTGGATTCCATCTCCAGTGACCACTCAGCCACTATATAAACTGCACAGTGTGAAAACCTCTTTAAAATAAAGTACTGCAACCTCAAGGTTGTTTTGTCTTATGAACTAACAACACTGCAAATAGCTCTAATTAAAATCAAGACGATAAATTATGAAATATTGGCACTGTGTATTACCAGACTTACAGCTGTGTCTGTTACAATGCAATTGCAGGGTGCAGTTATACAAGTCAAAATGATGGTGCATTTCTTGTGGATACTGCTGGTCTACTTACACTTCTATTGTTTTTTTGGAGCTCAGAGAAGTCCTTAATTAGAATAGCTGGATTTTCATTCAGTCTAGAGGAACAGTTTGACAAACATAAACGCAGGTAACTAAAATACTGAACACTTTTATAACACTCGGATCTGTGACCAGTTCCAGAAGGAAAACATATTCATGAGAAAAAGGGTTGGATAGTGAAATGGAAAACTATCCACTTGCCCATCTCACCAAGCTATGGTTAGACCTTCAAGAATATTGCTATGCTCACTATCTTAAGCAAAGTGTCTGACTCAAACCCTTATCGTTGGAATTTTTTTTCTTTTAATTTAGATGACACCAAGAAAACCTTAAAACTTCACAACGCAACACTGAATAACATGATTTTCATTTAGACAAGCATATATGTGTATCCCCAGTGGGAATATACTTGATCAGTTCATCAAAGTTAATCCTGATAATTCTATTAAGGACATCTTAATTGGGAACAGTACAAAAGAAAATGCCACTTAAAGGATGAAGTAATTAAAAATTAATTAAAATTGTGTAGCAATATATTATAGCCGGTTTAGTACAAATTTATTTACACTTCTAAGTATCTCCCTAAAGGCCTTTTCTCAAAACTTAATCAATAAATAAATAGATGCCCCCTGTGTAACAAAAGAGCAGGGCACTGAAAAGCCAGTGTAAACTACTAAAACGTTTTTGTACTCATCAGTGCAAAGCCTCTTCAAAGAAAAGTAAATGAAAGGTAGAAATTAATCCACTGTACAGTAAGGATGCAGCGTAACCTGTGCATAAAGACAGACAGGAGACTGGAAGATCTATTTTGGAGGGACATGAAGAAATTTGTTCCTTGTTTTTTTGGGGGGAGGGTGTTGTTTTTAAAAGCGGAAGCACGAATACCACTAACTGTCAAATCCTTGTCATTTTCGAAAGAAGACATGCTTTGAAAATTATTATTAATGCATGCGTTATCCGGTTATACCACATGCGAAAATACATTACTGTATGAGAGTCTCAATGAGGAAGATTAAAGAGTCACATGGAGATGCTAACAGAGACAATTAGGTTTATAACAAAGACGTCTTCATTTTGATATTCCTGTAACATAAGAAGTAGTTCAGAATTGTACACAAATATCTGCCAAAGATAAAAGAAGGTACAGATTTCTAGTCCGTATATAAGTTAAACTCAAAGTTATTTCAGCCCTGCCCAACGGAAGTAAACCAATCTTACCAGACATTGACAGTCACGTGGAATTATCTGGGACCGCTCATTACTGTTTGTATGACCGGGCTTAGATTTATTAGGAACTGTAAGGAGAGTTCTATGGCATTTCTTGAGTATAAAGGATATCAGGCAGGAACCATAAAAAAAAGGTCATGGACATCCAAAAAACTGAACTTAGCAGAAATGCTGTGGGAAGATACCTTAGATTCTTGAGCCCCACAAATTGCCTGAAAGAATATGAAAAGAAAAAATTATTTTTAAAAAATGTATTTAAAAATGTAACTCCATAGACTATAAATCATCTGTTTTGTTATTGTAAAAACTTCACACACAGAGTATACTTCAAGTCTCTCAAAGCAATCAAGGATTGTCACTCAAAAGCATTCTTTAGCCAGATGCCCAGGGGGTTAACAATGCAAAAACAAATCTGAAGAGTGCTCTGTTCCAGCCTAACATTCTGTATCAGAAGTGCTGTAGCACTGGGTGAAAAGTGCGATCTCTGTCTATTTGCACACTGATAGCATTGCTGTTTCAATGAATACTGACTGTTGCAGGAACTGTTGAAGAAGGCAGGAAACCTGCGAAACAGCTTAGGATAACACTGGGAGGTCTGGGGAGCAGAAGGGGAGGGAATGGTTCATTAAAACTTATTCTGTGTCACATATACAGAAGGAAAAGTTGAGATAAAGCACATTTCTGAGCATTGTGAATGGGTATCTTGGTGTCTACCAGATGCAGACCTTCAATAACACTCTCTTTATCATTAAAATTAGCTAACAGACTGCTTAATCACTTTAGTGGTTTTTTTTTTCCTCCCAAATCTTTCAGTGATGAGGAACTATTATTTTGCACATCTAAAGGCATTCAATTTCTGTGGTCATTCTAAAAAGTACATATATTTAAATCCTTCACACACTCTGCAACCATATCTCAGGAGTTATCTTTTATGCTAAATGAAACTAAACGCTGAAAAGAATACTGCATTAGATACCTCATATGGTGTTTATAACAATTAAATACACATACAGAGAGAAAAAGCCACAAACCTCACAAACAGAGCTGTCCCAAATAGCAGGAAGAGAAGCAGACCTCCTTTCAAAAGCCAAGAATCAGAACTTAAGTTCATTACGTATCCTATGGCCCACATCAATGTCAAGGAAGATGCCAACAGCAGGAAGAGCTATTAAAATGATTATTGTTAAAATACGACAACGTATTCAAGCAGGACTTACTTCAAAATTATTCAGTTAATGTAATAACAAATGCTGAAAGACTCAAGGTAGATAAGACAAGGTGACACATCAATAGATCACAGGGCGGGGGGGAAAGGACACAAAGAACCCACCCAAACCACTGCTACGTGCTTTTAAAGAATTTTATTTTTGTGCACCCAATTGCAGAAACTTTAGAAGATCCTCTTGTTAGAAAAGAGTTAAGTCGCATATTATTCTAAACACGGAATGCTGTAGCTTTATTCCCATTAGTTATTACTCGGGAAATTACCTCGTATTTCTCTACTATTTTCAGTAACCTGTTATTTCTTCTGCTTCTCATTCTTTCTTCCTCTTTTACCATATAAACCATGAAGCGATTCATACTTTGATAAGCAAGGTCAAGCGGTGTCTCTCCCTTTAACAACAGAAATGGTTAGTTATTTATGCACTTAACATATAAATGCTTTCCTTTTTAAGGGAAGCAAGAAATAAATATAGCTAAACCAAGAACAACTGGGCAGTTACTTTCCAGCCCCCCCCCCCCCCTATGCTTAATCCAGTGCTTTGTAGTTCTAAAAACTGATACTTGCAACCACATTGCATCCATTTGAGTTGTCTGTTGGACTGTCTCCAATAACCTGAAACACTAAACTGTCTGCTAGAATATTACATGCTTACTGAAAGGGAAGGTTTCTTGTTTATGTGAACTTTTTAAAACCAAACAGCAACATCCTAAGTCACATATATGAAAAAAAAAGCAGCAGATGGAAGAGCTGCACAGCTTAATACACAAACCCTGAATAACTACACTGTACAAACATATCTATATAGTAGACTTTAAAGACATGTTTAAGAGTTTCACCAAGACACTGTTATTTTTAAAACCAACAGCAACATCCTAAGTCACATATATGAAAAAAAAAAGCAGCAGATGGAAGAGCTGCACACCTTAATACACAAACCCTGAATAACTACACTGTACAAACATATCTATATAGTCATAGGAATTGATACTTTCAACATTTATACTTCTCACTATCAGTTTTTACCCATACTAGGACAAAGACTTTCATATGTGACTAGCTCTTCTGAACGTACGAACAGGCATTGTCAAACACTGGTTTTCATGGGATGATACACACATCTTTTTAAAGTCTTTAAGAGTTTCACCAAGACACTGTTATTTTTAAAAATCTGGCTGAAGTCATTACTCCTCATGACAATGTTTTGAAGTGGAAAACAGCCAACTTAAAAAAAGAAAAAAAAGAAAAAGGAAGAGGGGAAAAAAGGAAGGAAGAGGGGAAAAAAGGAAGGAAGAGGGGAAAAAAGGAAGGAAGAGGGGAAAAAAGGAAGGAAGAGGGGAAAAAAGGAAGGAAGAGGGGAAAAAAGGAAGGAAGAGGGGAAAAAAGGAAGGAAGAGGGGAAAAAAGGAAGGAAGAGGGGAAAAAAGGAAGGAAGAGGGGAAAAAAGGAAGGAAGAGGGGAAAAAAGGAAGGAAGAGGGGAAAAGAAAATTATTAGGAAGATACTAAGAACGAGGGGAAAGAGAGATAAAAAGGAAAAGAGAGAAAAAAAGGGGAAAAAAAAGAAGGGGGGGGTTGGAGAATCTGCAAAGGACACAATTATGTTCAGAGTGACCGAAAGGCTTGGCTGTTCATTAAATGAACGTTGCACAGAATCTCTGCATTCATAGTTTGAGCCACACCACAAGAAAGGTGTTAATTCCTTTTGGGAAAGACTAAGGACGCCTGCTCTTAGTCTTTCCCCGTTGCAAAGGATATCCAAAGAGGAGAGGACTCAGATTTTTCTTTACATTCATTTTACACATTCATGCCACATGGAATGAAATATCATGAAAGAAATTGTACCTTGACATTTTTTATGTCCAGGCTAGCGCCAGCTTCCAGCAACAGATCCACTGCACTAGTATTTCCTGATGCTATTGCCCAGTGCAGTGCAGTATTCTTTTGAACATTGTCTACAGCATTGAGAGAGGGGTTAAACTTTAAGAGAAACCTCGTGGGTTCTGGTCTAGATGAAAATAAAGTATAAAAGTTAACAAACAGGAGATAATCTATACTGGAGATGAAACTTTTGAACACCTTAGAAAAACCACTGTTCCCATCTGTGAAATAACAGCAGATACACAACGCCTTGTCTCAGAACAAGCTCATCAACGGTAGATCCAAGCTTATAATTCAGGACCTGCCCTGAGGGTTTTTCTCCAGACTATGTTATCTTACCATTTTAACAAATATGACGTATATACACAGATTATATCTTTTTACAACACTGCATATAAGCTTACATCTCCACATTTTATTTCTTCTAAATGCATTTTACTGCGTCCACCTCCATTTGTTTTCATTTCTGGAAAGCACAATAACGCTGCAGACGGTTCAGCCACAAACCTAAACTTCTTTTAGAAATTCTTTTGACTTTCTTTGCTATATCCAGTTAGCTACTTGATAACTCCTGATCTCTGAAACACTGTGTATTTTAGTACAACTAAAAGGGAAAGGAATGTCAGTTTAACAAAAAATTTCATACGAAAAAATTCACCTCACTGCTTCTTGGGTACAATAAAATAGATCCGTCTTAAGTGATTCACTACTTACCCGATCGCTTTTTGTGCTGATAACATTAAAGGTGTTTGTCCATTGAAGTCTGTTGTGTCTATGTTCTAAGTATAAGAAAAAGATAACAAGCAAGTGATTACCAGTGATTTCAGGAAACAGAGTTAGATGGTCAGATTCGGAGCTACACAACTGGCTTAGTTTCACTGCAGTAGTGGAAAGAAACCAAATTATACCAGCCAAGAAGCCAACACTCATTTAAACATTTCCCCCCACCCCAAGTCTTGCATGTCGTTCCTTTCAGAACACGCCGAGTCCCTGCTAGAGTCTTGCATGTCATTCCTTTCAGAACACGCCGAGTCCCTGCTAAGGATATTTTTAAGGGACAGTCTCCACTAAGGATATTTTTAAGGTAACCATGTTAACCATATTTCTTGTCCTCTTTTGCACAAAAATATTATAAATAAAATGTACCTTGTAAAGCAATGTTAACCATCTTCCTTTTGTAAACAGAAGTACTAACAGAATGTCCAAGTACATAAAACTGGTTTATTAAAACAACAAAAAAAGGATTGATTATGTATCTCAAGACATAATTATTTAAACACCTAACTTGCATTACCTAATTTTCTTCCTTCTTCTTCACAATGAAGGTTTCTTTCTTCCCCGCCTCCACCCATCATTACATTAGAGCAGATTTACTTAAAAGAAATGTTTAATCACTTGGATTTTTTAGCAGAAGACAGGTGGGCTAAAAACTTTCTTAAGTTTGTGATATATACCATCTATACCTACATTCCAGAATTCAGTTACTCTACTAAAGAGAGCTCTAGGAGAAAGAAAATAAACTTACCAAATCTTTAAATCTTAATACTCAGTGTTTCAAAGAAACAGTCTAGATCCTGTAAGAACTCTCCTCTCATTTTTATTAGCAAATTGTCACACTTGTCATTAATTCTGCTTGCTTCAGATGTAAGCTAAGCAGACATCAACTAGAGTGGATACAATATAAAAGTACAGAAAATACAGAAATTTCTAATAAAAAATTCAGACCTAGTCTGATCATCTATTCTGCACACTTCAATTGACGGACAATTGCACAGACTATTAGCTAAAAAATTGTAATTAAATAGTAAATACTTCATGATGTATACGCTTCATATACTGCTTTTTGTTCTCAGGTTTAAAAGCCAGTTGTTATTTATACAGCAGAACAAATCTGCATAGCCTTAACGACTCTCCTTAAACACTGATTTGTATGTGAATGTGTATGTGTGGGGATGACAAGAACAGGGGAGAGTATTAAAAAAACTCCATTATATATATAAAAAAAAAAAATCTAAAGTTTCTCTGAACTTATGGCACAGGGAAAGAGCTGTCAAATACCTGCTTATCATCTAGAAAACAAAACAGTTAATTCTGAAATGTATCGTACACACAGGCAGCTACTCGTAAGTAGAAAACAGTACTTGGGACAACAACAACATACCTGGCCTTGTGATATGAGGTAAGCTACAATGGGCATGTGTTGAAACAGCACTGCTAAGTGAAGGCTGCTGAATCCTTCCCCATCAATAAGACTGGGATCCGCTCCACATTTCAACAATAACATGACCATAGGCAGGTGTCCTTGTCTGCAATGATACGTGAAATGAAACTACACAGATGACAAAAAAGATGGAAATTTTAATGAAAGCATTGCCTTAATAATTCTCATAGATACCCTGCAAAAAAAAAAAAATTCCTTTCAGATTCTTGTGTTTTTATTCAGGAAATTACTTTTTTTTTTTTAATTAAAAGTTTATATCAGAAAATTATATTAAATAAGTACCTTAATAAGTCAGCCTAAAGCAAGCTGTTAATTTAGAATACAATGGTTATTCTACAGTAATTTCTCCTGTGGGCAGTCTTTCTCAGAAGAAGTATCTAACTTTGTTTGGCAGAAGACTAAGATAGCCCAGAAGAAAGCACTGATCTTCCAATGTGAGAATTTGCACTCAGAGAAGTCATCCCAAAAATCACTAATTAAGGTTATGTTTTTTCCAGACGAGCCGTGCTTTGTTCTTTTGATCATTTTACTCAAGTCCTGCCTTAGAAGCCAAAGTTGTGTGATTTTTAAACTGTATCAGGTTGAACAGATGTAGTCTAGAGCAATGTAGAAAGAGCAGATCCAAAGAGGCATTAAACACACGCAAGCACTAATAGCTACTGTCGCCCAGGAAGAGACGCTGCATGTTTGTGGTGGAAACAGCTATAAGGAGTCCAAGGGGAAAAGCTAACGCCACTGGGAGAAGACGGTCCAAGACCTCTCTACGTGCCTCTGAGCAACAAGATGTCTTACACTGGTCCTACTGCTACATGCTTGTGCTTTAAAGTCCAGGACTGGCAGCGTTGAGTCTTACGAGAGCACACCAAAGGAATCTAGTGCAGAAGCTAAAACAACTGAAAGCGTACTAGCTAGACAGGCTGACGTCTGAGGGAACTGCGACCGCAACTTTTTTGGACTTAAACTGTGCCCTAATAAGCATCAAAAGCTAACTTCAGTGACCTAACACAGCCAAGTCTTCTTTGCCCAGTAAGGCAGCACTTACGAGGCAAAGTCTGAACAGTACTGTTTCATCCCTAGGGAAAATTCAAAATGTGAGTCCAAGTGACTAAAACACAGATGCACGCGTAACACAACTTTGTGGCCTGCAAAGCTGCCAGGAATCAAGAGAACAGATTTCAGCATTATTATGGACATGCAGTGAAATTCTTTATACCTTAAAAAAATCAACATACCACAGAATTTGGTTTAAGGTGACCACTGCTGTGCTACACAAAATGTAACTGTCAATACTACCAGATTTACATTTAGTAGTTGCAAGCAGCATACCTAATGGCCCAGTGAAGGGGAGTTGAATTCAAATCTCCACCTAGCTGATCCACTATTGCACCTTTGGAAATATAGTATCTGTATAACAGCAACACAATACAATTAAGAACAGAAAAAATAAAATATTAAAACATTATACTAAGCATAAGATAGGTCTAGAAGCAAATAGCTCATAATAAAAAAAAAATTCACTAGAGAGGCAAATGGACAAGAGTATTTTTGCAGTAAAGGATGCTGTTTTAAGAAAACATTTAAGGAAAAATATAATAACTAGGAAGGCACCTATAAAATCAGCTTTAATCTTTGTTAACCAAACCAAAACGAAACCCAACCCAGGAAAATCTAATGATTTCATGTACTACATGATTTCACATAAAGAAACCGTGGTAACTTTACATTTCAGTTACATTTTCACAGAGGTAATTGGGTTAAAATTTGAATTTTATGCTTTTCTTCTCAAGCAGCATGTTCCCTTTGTTTTGAAGTATAATAGCAACAAAGCGATTATAAATAACAGTGGCAGAATACTTGTGCCACTTTCACAAGGACTCTAGAGCTTACTTAACCAGCTCCTGTCTGTTGTTTATTGCTGCCCAGTGAAGAAGAGTCACATTTTCTTTGTCTGGCTGTCGAACATCATATCCTGCTTCTACCAGTTCTTTGCATCGCTCTACTATTCCATACCTTAAATGAGAAAAAAAACCACATCGATTTACTTATCATTCATTTGTTAAGTATCCTCCAGTTTACAGACAGCCACATATTAAAGAAAATCCCAGTAAGCATCATCCAGCAGGTCCTACTTGAGCAAATTCCACGTTGCATTCAATGGAAGTCTTGGAAAAAGAGATGGGCTGAGCCTTGACGAGTAGAATTTTCCACATAACAAAACAAACCTGGTTGAGATACCATTGTTTGTGATAAAATATTTACAATAGTACCTTCACGTGATTTTTCTTCTTTCACTATGGGGAGAAAAGGGAACTGTAAATTTTTCCTTTGTAAAAATATCCAACGTGGCTCACATTTGAGGACAATCCCAACTATTTCAACATTTTTCTCACACAGAACATATACTTACTGTGTAGCCTTGACAATATCACAGGTGCTGGGGTCTTCAACAATCAGATATGGCCCCGGCAGCACCGGTAGGTCTTTATCCCCGTGGGCACTATGACAGCTGTGCATATGGGGCCGATGAGGCCCATGGCAATGGTTTTTACACTGTTGGTTAACAAAACGTCTGTCAACAAACATTATTTATACACTGTACACCACACCTCTCTCTTTACCAGACACACGTGCTATACTTGTCAAGTTGCATTAATACAAGTAACAAAGTTCATTTAAAGCACAGGTAAAACCACCTGACAAGAGACTAATCCTTTTATTCGGCACAGCGACATGGGAGGACAGAAGGGATATGGTTAAGGTCCATCAGGCCAAATTACAAAGGCGTTAAACACTTTGCAGATCTGGCTCCCGACACAACACCCTTGCCCGCAGCAACGCTGCTACACTAGCAACGACAACCTATGTCCTTGAGTAGGTTTCGAAATGCAAGGGCACTTGAGAGCCACGGGGCCAGCCCCGCACGCCTGAAAACCAGATGCCAGGCACTAGAAAAGGAACACGCCAGACAGGCCACAGGCCTCCGCTT